GATGGCGAAGGACGGCACGAGCTGCGCGTGGAGCGTCGCCACGGACATGGCCGCGAGCGCGACGATCGCACCGGCCCGCGCCGCGGCGAGGAGCGGCGGCGACAGCGGCGAACGCCGCGCGAGGTCCGCGGCCTCGTCCATAGGGGGGCTGCCCGCACTCGGAAGTCCGCGACGCTACACTCGCCGCGCGAGGTCCGCGGCCGCGTCCATAGGGGCTGCCCCAGTTCGGAAGTCCGTGACGCGAAGTGCACCTTCGCTCGGTGCCGTCACCCGCTTCACCTCCGGCGCGAAAAAGTACCCGTCGGGCTGCCCCCCGGGTGGAGGGAGTTCTGCTCGGGTGGACGCGCTCCACCGCGGGGACCATGGGCAACACGATGACGAATTCGTCCGGGGGCGGCGCGGGCGGCGGGGTCCCCCCCACGGGCCCCGCGCGGCCCGTCATCGCCACGGCCATGGCGGCCAACGGCTTCGACGACGGCCCGCCGGCGGTCTTCGCGGAGGCCGTGCCCGTCTTCGCGGACGGCGCGGCGCTGCCCCCGGCCCCGGACGCGCCGTCCCCCGACGGCGCGCCGCCCCTGAACCGCATCGTCGCGAGCCTGCGGCGCGAGCTCGGCGTCGCGGGCACGGTCGCGCAGGTCGTCGACCAGGCGTGCCAGCACCTCGGCGTCGACGGCGCGAACCGGTCCCTGCTCGAGCGCGCGCGCGCGTGCTGGGACACGCTCCACGGCGCCGCGAGCGGGGCCCAGGCGAGCGCGCCGCCGCCGCCGCCGCGGAGCCGGTCCATGACGCCCGAGCGGTCGCGGTCCGCTAGCTCTTCCGGCGGCCGCTTCTGGGGCCAGAGCTCGGGCGCGGCGGCGGCGGCGGCGCCCTGGGCGTCGGGCCAGGGCGCGCCGCGGGCCGCGGGCCAGCTGCCCCTCCAGTACGACCTCGCCGTCGGCGACCTCGTCGTCGCCGCGACGGCGTGGAAGCGCGTCATGGTCGGCGACCGCGGCGTCGTCGTCGGGCCCTGCGAGGACTCGTCGGAGAAGGCGCCGCACAAGCGCTGCCGCATCAAGTTCGACGACGGCAAGGGCACCTACGTCTACACGAAGGGCCAGCAGGCGCGCCGCGCGCCCATTTTGGGCGGCCACGCGCTGGGCGGCGTGGATTCCGACCGCCGGTTCGGGGGGTCCCCACCAAACTTGAGAACTCTCGAGCTCGGTCACATCGACGTCGATTCGGCTGATTCTTGGACGAATCGATCGCTCTCGTCAAGTTCTCGAAGCACAGCGACATACTGTGTTCCACACCGTTCGATCGCGCGCACATTGAAGTCGGGTTGAAGATTTGGCATCCGCGCAGGTGCTGGGCGACTGCGTGCTCGCGACGGCCGCGCGGCCGCGGAAGTTCAACGTCGGCGACCGCGGCGTCGTCGTCGGCCGGGGCCGGTCGCGGTCCCTGCGGGACGCGCTGCTCGTGCGCTTCCCCAACGGCGTCGAGGCCGAGGTGTCCGCGGGCGCGGACGTGCGCGCGGCGCCCGTCGTCGTCGTGCCCGGCGCGCCCGCGATTTTGAAGGGCGACGTCGTCCTCGCGTCCGTGGACTACGAGGCCGTCACCGTCGGCGACCGGGGCGTCGTCGTCGGGCCCTGCAGCGACCCCGCGATGTCGCGCGCGGACCTCCGCGTGCTCGTCGACTTCGAGAACAAGGCCGCGTACAACTACCGCTGCGACACGCAGCTCCAGCTCGCGCCGCTCCTCGAGGGCACGAACTTCGTGCGCGGCGACGAGGTCGTCGTCGGGCCGGCCCTGGGCAAGAAGGTCCGCGGCGTCGTGCTCGGGCTCGGCCGCCGCGCGGGCGCGCTCGCCGTCGACGTCGCCAACGGCGCGCCGGCCAAGGACGTGCCCCTGGGCCACCTCAAGCACGCGCCCCTCGTCGCCGGGGCGCCCCACTTCGCCAAGGGCACGCGCGTCGTCGCCAAGGTCGCCTACAACGCGGTCCGCGTCGGCGACCGCGGCGTCGTCGTCGGGCCCTGCAACGTGCTCACGATGCCCAACGCGGCGAAGCGCGTCCTCGTCGACTTCGGCCGCAAGGGCCTCTACAACTACGCCGTCGACACGCAGCTCACGTTCGTCCACGGCGACGAGGCCGACGCGACCGACGGCGCCTTCGACGGCGGCGCGGGCGCGATCTAGGACGCGCGCGCGCATATGTTACCCCCGCCCCACGTGGATCTCTCCCGGGGGTGCGCCGGCGCGGCGGGGGTGCTCACGCGAAGGTGAGCGTGTCGAGCTTGGCGAAGGCCGCGCCGCCGCAGCCGGCGAAGGACACGGCGACGTCGACGGCGCCGTCCGCGGACGCCGGCGCCGCGAGGGCCGCGGCGCCGAGGGCCGCGCCGCAGGCGACGGTCGCGTACATGTCCCAGGCGCCCGTGGGCGCGAGGGCGCAGGTCGCGAGCGGCGTCCCCGCGACCGCGAGCGTCGCGGCGCCCGCGCACTCGCCGCCGTTCGCGAAGGTCAGGTTGAGCGCGACGCTGCCGCCGAGGCTCGCGCGGTCGACGCGGTAGGCGACGGCGGCCCCGTCCGCGACGTCGCCGACGACGAAGCCCGTCGTCGAGCCGCCCTGGGTCGTGCGCGCGCCGTCGACGCGGTGGTACTGCTCCGCGGGCAGCGGCGCGCGCGCGTCGCGGGGCCCGACGCCGGCCGCGGTGATCTCGACGGGCGCGATCGTGCCGTCGTCGCGGTAGTGCACAAAGGCCGCCACCGTGTCGCGGAAGCCGCCCGTGGGCGCGTCGCTGTGCGAGTAGTCGTTCGAATAGAAGTACCACTGGCCCAGGTGCTCGACGAAGCTCGAGTGGCGGTCGTAGTAGATGTGGTGCGAGAACCTGCGCTCGCGCGGGTTTCCCGGTCCAAGTCGCCGCGGGACGCCGGCGAGCGCCAGCGCTGCGACCGCTCCGCCGTCTGGTTGCCGACCATGAATGCTTTTTCGACGAGGTCCGCCTCGATGATGCAGCCCTTGTACTGGTACGGGCCGAAGACCTCGGACGCCGTCGCGTAGAAGCAGCCCCACGACAGGTAGTAGAGGTCGCCGCGCTTGTGCAGAAAGGGCTTGTCGTCGGCCTTGCCGTAGCCGAAGTGGCCGAGCACGCCCTTGACGGACAGGTGGCGCGGCGGCTCGTAGGAGATCATGTCGTCGTGGAGCTCCGCCGCGTAGTAGCACGCGTCGTCGGGCTGGTTCGCGCCGTCGCAGGCGCCGAAGACGATATAGTGGCGCCCGTCGTCGTCGCGGAGCACGCCCGGGTCCCGGATGTTCGTCGGCGGGCTGAGGGAGGAGCCGTTGGCGAGGAGGAAGTCGCCGAGCGGGTCCCGCCAGGGGCCCGTCGGGGCGTCGGCCTCGAAGACGGCGATCTGTTTGCCGCCGATGGACACGTACCAGTAGTACCTGCCCTTGTGCTCCGCGGCGTCCGTCGCCCACAGGCTGTTCGTCTCCTTGAGCGACTCGGGCGTCCAGGCCGGCAGGCCCTGGCTCGACACGTTCGTCCAGGGGCCGCCGGGGTAGGGCGCGGTCCAGATCCACCAGTCGCCGCCGCAGCAGCCCGACGCCCCCTGCTCGATGAGATCGTGGGTGCTGTACATGTAGAGCGTGCCGTTGAAGACGTGCACGTGGGGGTCCGCCATGCCCGTGTGCGGCACCAGCGGGTTCGTGGCGGCGGCCAGCAGCGGCGCGAGCACCACGAGTCCGCGATGCGCCATCCGATCGCTTCTGATGTCGATCAAGAAGCCTCTGCAAGTGCACTGAACTTGGCCTTTACTTGAATACTTCGGCGGGGCTAATCCCAGTTCGAACCCAGCGGCCACAGTTGGCCGCAGCTCGAACTTGCGCTTCCAAGCGCAGCGTCCCACCACCGCGATCAGCATGGCTCTCACCGACACCACCAATTCGACCGCATCCACGCGCGCCGACCTCGAGAAGAAGACCGTGCCGGAGCTCAAGACCCTCTGCAAAGCAGCAGGCGTGCCGATGACCGGCGCCAAGGGCGTGCTCGTCGGCTACCTCCTGGACCCCGCCAACAACCAGAAGGGCAAGCGCAAGGCCGCGGGCGGCGCTTCCGGCGGCCAGAGCAAGGCCGCCAAGGCCGCGCGCGCCATGGCCGGGCCCTGGAGCGCGACGGAGGAGCCGGGCGTCGACCCCGCCCAGGCGGAGGCGTCGCTGCGCCGCTTCGTCAACTCCTGTGCGTCGCACGTCGACGCGCGCGGAGCCGGCGTCCCCATGCGCGCGCGCGCCGCTTCGTTTCGACGTCTCGACGCGCGACGCTTCGCCTCCGCCCGACCGCCTCCCCGTTCGCGCAGGAACTGGCACGATTGCTACGAGTCGACGGGCCTGCTCCTGCACAAGTACATGGAGGACTGCCTCGAGCGCGCCGAGGCCTGCATCGCGGTCGCGCGCAAGGGCGAGGGCTACGACCTCTGCCACCGCACGCTCTGCGCGGTCGCCGACACGTGGGACGACATGCGGGCGATTCCGTTCCGCGGCTGCCCGCGCGAGGACATCTCCAACGGCGACTTCGGCTCCATCGGCGTCGGCGAAGGCCAGTTCAGCACGGACGACCCGGAAGAGCTCGCGACCTTCGCGCTGCCGCTCGTCCTCGCGCTCGCGGCGGCCGACGACCGCGTCGCGGACGGCGCGCTCCAGCGCATGCTCAAGGACTGCGTCGACCACGGCTGCAACGACCCCCACGAGGCCTCCGAGTCCGAGCGCGGCTTCGAGCTGCCGGCGAAGGTCGACTTCGAGCTGTCGGCGAAGGTCGCCGAGGGCCGCGAGCGTCTCGCGGGCATCTTCGCGGACACGGCCTCCTGGGCGAATCTGCCGTCCTGGAAGCCCAAGCACAAGATGCGCCGCGCCATCGACCGCCGCTTCGACGGCCCCAAGCACCTCCGCACGCGCGGCAGCTTCGGCTTCGGCGACTACTGAGCCCCGATGCGCGCGGCCGCCGTCCCCAAGCACCGGCCCGCGGGCGTAGGCGCCGGATGACTCGACTTAGGCGAGGGGGGGGCCTCTCAGAGATTCGGGATGAAGACGTTGAAGCCGTCGAGCGCCGTCGTCATGCAGAGGCCCGGGATCTGGGGGTGGTACTTGACCTCCTTGGGGTCGCGGAGGCCCTGGTGGACGAACATGAGCTGGGGCGGCACGCCGAACTCGGACGCGCCGCTGGGGATGCCCGGCGGCGTGTCGTCCTCGACGGACAGGTCCCAGAGCGAGACCGCGTCCGCGGCGCCGGCCGCGCAGACGGCGAGCGCGGACTCGTCGTGGGGGTCCCAGGCCACGGAGCAGACGTGGCCGCCCTTGTGGTAGTCGAAGAGGCCCACGGGCTTGGCGTCCTTCCCAAAGGCCCGCAGGTCCCAGACCCGCGCGACGCCGTCGTCGCCGCCCGTCGCGACGAGGTACGCGACGGCGCTGTTCCACGACATGGCGTTGACGTCGTCGGCGCCGTGGGCGCCGTCCAACGCGAGCATGGGCCGGTCGCCGTGGCGCGCGTCGAAGACGCGGAGCGCCGCGGACGCCGCGCCGCAGGCCATGAGCACGGTGGGCTCCGTCGGCGAGAACGCGACGTCCTCGACGGCGCCCGGGCAGGCCCAGCGCGCGACGACGGCGGCGCCGCGGCCGTCGAGCGCGGCGTCGAGCACGGCGACGCCGCCGTCGTCGCCGCCGCACGCGAGGCGCGACGGCTCGAGCGGGCTCCACTGGAGCGCGTAGCCGGGCGCGGCCCGCGTCGCGGCCGCGAAGGGGTCCCGGGCCTTGAGCCCCGCGGGCCTCGGGCCCGAACGGTGCGGCGCGCAGAGCGCGGCGCACTCGTCGCGCGCGTCCCAGAGGCGCACCGTCGCGTCGTCGGACCACGTCGCCACCAGACCCGGCGACGGCTTCGAGCAGGCGACGCGCCGCGCGACGCCGGGGTGGGCGAAGGCGACGTGCTCCGCCGTCGCCGGCCGCGCCTCGTCGTCGTCGTCGTCGTCGTCGGACGCGTCGCTGTCCTCGACCTCCATGCGCCCCAGGCCCTCGAGCTTGAGGAACGTCAGCTTGTTCGCCTCGCCCGGGCCCGCCTGCGTGCCCGTCGCGGCGAGGAGGTCGTGGGGGAAGCGCGTGCGGCCGCCGCCGCCGCCGTCGGGCACGAGGTCGAAGGAGAGGCAGGGCCAGTCGCTGCCGAGGCGGTGGAGCATCTTGTACGCGCGCGGGTCGCACTCGAGGTCGCCCTCTCCCTCGACGTTCTTCCGCGGGTCCCAGGATAGCTGCGTCTCCTGCTCCCGCCCGTCGGCGGCGACGGCCGCGCGCACGGCGTCCTCGTCCATCTCCTCGTCGTCGCCGCCCATGGCCTCGTCCTCGACGATGAACTCGTCCTCGGCCTCGTCCTCGAACTCCAAATCGCTGTCCTCCATGGCGTCGGCCGCCGGCGGCGGACCGCCGGACCGCTTCTTCTTCTCCGACGACGGCGGGCCGCCGGACCCGCGCTTCGACGCCGCGGCGTTGCCGCGGCGCTGCTGCATGGCGGACATCCTCCTGCTCGTATATCGCCGGATGGCACTGGCGGCCGCGACGCTGCACGACGCGGCGCCCGTGGCGGCGGCGGCGGCTGGCTTCGGTCGTCGCCAACTCGGACGACGGGCTCGTGCTGCGGCCGCGCCGCGGCCGACGATCGGCGCCTCCCACGCCGTCGGCGCCGCCACGCGCGCCTCCCCGCCGACTCGGGCACGACTCGGCAGCCGCGGCCGACGCCGCGGAACCACACGCCTCCGCGCTAGGGCGCCCCTTACCCGGGCGCGTCGCGCTTGCGCTTCGCGCGGGGGTCGGCGTTGGCCCAGGCCTTCTTCGTCGTCTTCGCGAGGAGCCAGGGGGGCACGTCGGCGCAGCCCGTCTGCTTGGCGATGTTCGCGACGGCGCGCAGTCCCGCGGCGTCGTCGCTCGTGTACAGCGTCAGCGCGCGGCCGTTGCGGCCGTTGCGGCCGACGCGGCCGACGCGGTGCACGTAGTCCGCCGCCGACGCCGGCGCGTCCAGGTTGACCACCGTCTCCAGCGCCCGCAGGTCGAGGCCGCGGCTCGCGACGTCCGTGCACACGAGGAACCACGACGTTCCCTTTCGGAAATCTCTCAGCGCGTCCGCGCGCTGCCGCGGGCCCAGCCCGCCGTGGAGGCGGCCCGCGCGGTAGCCCAGCGCGCGGAGCCGCGCCGCCGCGGCGTCGGCCGCCGGCGCGCACCGCGCGAAGACGAGGCAGGGGGGCCGCGCGAAGCCCTCGCGGATCGCCCGCGCCAGCGCTTCGACCCGCTTCCCGTCCTCGCCGACGTAGGCGAAGCGCTGCTCCACGAGGGGCGGGCCCAGGCTCGGCAGCACGCCGAGCACCACGCGGTCCGCGCGCAGGCAGTTCGCCGCCAGCTCGCGGACGCCCTCGTTCATCGTCGCCGAGAAGAGCGCCGTCGCGCACTTTTTCGGCCTCGCGCCCAGCACCGCGTCGACGTCGGCGACGAAGGCGTTCGGCGCCCGCGTCGACGCGTCCGCGAGCCCCGCCGTCGGCGTCAGATCCAGGAGCTTGTCCGCCTCGTCGACGAAGAGGCGCCGGAGCGCGCTCGCGGCCTTGGGCGTCGCTTCGTAGAGCTCGCGGAGCGGCGCGGGCGTCGACACGAGCACGGAGCTCCGCGCCACGACGTCGCCGCTCCAGGGCGCCGCCGCGACGGCGTCCTCGACGCCGCAGCCGCGCAGCACGCGCGCCGCCTCGCGCGCGATCTGCGCGACGAGCTCGCGCGTCGGCGCTAAGATCGCGACGGCGGGGAATTTAGGCGTTTTTTTCTCCCGCGCGAGCAGGAAGGCCGCCGCGGGCACGACGAAGGCGCCCGTCTTGCCCGAGCCCGTCGGCGCCGTCACGAGCGCGTCGCGGCCCGCGGCGAGCGCGGGGCACGCCTGCGCCTGCACGGAAGTAGGTTCTTGCCACGCGCACGCCTCGAGCGCGGCCCGGAGCCGGCCGTCGAGGTTGCCGTCGTCCCAGGACGCCCAGGGCCGCGGCACGGCGTCCTCGCTCTCCACGCGGAGCCGCAGGCGCTTCCGGAAGGCGCGCACGTCGTCGTCGGACCACGGCGCGGGCGCGCCGGCGTCGGCCGCGGCGCCGGCGGCTTTCGTGCGCGATTTCGGCGCGGGCGTCGGCGGCGCCGGCGGCTCCGGCGCGTCGCCGAAGAAGTCGAGCGATGCGGCCATTTGCTAACGTGGTCCTTTTCAGCGCTGGCAGGCCCTTCTCATAAGCGATCGCGCCCCACCATCGGCACCAACATCGCCATCAAGCTTCGCCGACTTGCAGTGGCAAGCATATGGGCGCCGGGTTTCTCGACCGCTAGCAGGCCCTTCTGAGCACCAAACACACTACAAAGGCAGCCATGAAAAACGCCCTGAAGCTCTGCCTCATCGCTGTCATCGCCGCGCCCGCCATCGTCGCGGCGCTGAGCGCCCGCCCGCCGCCGCCGCCGAAGCGCGGCAAGAGCAAGGGCGGCAAGCACAAGCGGCGCAACAAAGCGGTGGAGGCGCCGTCTGCGTCGGCGAGCATCGAGGACCGCGAGGCGCGCCTGCGCGCGCGCTTCGCCTCCTGGAGCGGCGGGGACGACGACGACGACGACGACGACGCCGCGGCGCCGCCGCCGGCGGCGGCGAAGCCGCCGGCCGAGGCGCCGCGAAGCCTCGGCGGCTGGGGCCGCGAGGCGCGGCCGGCCTTCGGCGACGACTTCCTCATCCGCCGCCGGCGCGGCGCCGCCGCGGAGCCGGCGGCGCCCGCCGCGGCCGCGCCGCGCGACGAGGCCGCGCCGCGCGAGACCGCCGCGCCGCGCGAGAAGAAGAAGGAGAAGAAGAAGAAGAAGCCGCGGCCCGTCGACGACGCCCTGGCGGCGCTGGGCCGCCGCGCGGCCTTCGCCGACGCCCCGGGCCCCGCGCGCGACGAGGCGGCCGCGGCGCCGGAGACGTTCGAGGCGTGGGACCTGCCGGCGTCGACGGCCGCGGCGCTGGCCGCCGCGGGCTTCGACGCGCCGACGCTCGCGCAGTCTGCGCTCTGGCGCGCGGACCCGGCGCGCGACGCCCTGCTCGCGGCGCCGACGGGCGGCGGCCAGGGCAGCAAAAGAGAGCGAAATTCCCAACTTCAAAGGCTCCTTTCTCGGCCGTTTTCCACTCGTTTCGGCTGATTTTTGGACGAGCGATCATCTCTCGGAACGGTCTCGAAGCGTGGATGCTTTTTTTGGAACGCGCGCGCGCGGAACACTCACGTTGAAGCGACGTTGAATCACTCTTGTGCTGCCCAGGCGGCGGCAAGACGCTCGCGTTCCTGCTGCCCGCGCTCGCGGCCGTCGACCCGCGCGACGCGGCCGTCCGCGTGCTCGTCGTCGCGCCGGGCCGCGAGCTCGCCGTGCAGATCGCCGACGCGGCCGCGACGTTCTTCCCGGACCTCGAGGTCGCCGCGATCTTCGGCGGCGCGAACGCGGGCCGCATGCGCGACCGGCTCAAGAAGCGGAAGCCCCAGGTCGTCGTCGGCACGCCCGGCCGCCTCGCGGAGTTCGCCCTCGACGGGAGCCGGCCGCTGAAGCTGGGCCGCGTCGCGGCGATCATCGTGGACGAGGCCGACGCGACGGCCGCGGCGCCGTTCGTCGACGATTTGGAGGCGGTCCTCGGCGCCGCGCCGCGGACCGCGCGGCTCGTCTGCGCGTCCGCGACGGCGCCCGCGCTGCTCGACGGCGACGCCGCGTCGACCTTCGCGCCGACGGTGCGCGACCGCGCGAGAGACGCGCTCCTCGTCGACGCGCGCGCGGCGGCCGGCGTCGTCGCGGGCGCGCTGCGCGCGGGCGCGCGGCACGGCCGCGTGACGATCAGGGACGACCGGAGCGCCCTGGAGGCGCTGCGCCGCGTGCTCCGCGCCGACGACCCGCCCTGCGAGGCCGCCGTCGTCTTCGTCAACGACGGCGACGCCGCGATCGCCGTCGCGAACGCGCTCCGCACGCGGTGCAACGTCGACGCGCTGCCCCTCGCCGGCGCCGTCTCCGGCGACGACCGCGCGAAAGCCGTGCGCCACCTCGCGGCGGGCGCCGCGCCGGCCGTCGTCGTCGCGACGGAGGTCGCCGCGCGCGGCCTCGACGCGCGCCGCGTGACGCACGTCGTCAACCACGACTCGCTGCCGTCGACGCCGGCGCACTACGCGCACCGCGCGGGCCGCTGCGGCCGCGCGCCGGGCGCGCCGGCCTTCGTCGTCTCCCTCTGCCGGTCGCGCGAGGCGCGCGTGCTCGACGGCTTCGCGCGCGAGCTCGACGTGCCCATCCACGACCTCGAGCTCGCCGGCGGCGCGCTGTTCCTCGCTGATAAGACCCCGCCTTAGGCGATATTGCCGCGGACGTCGGCCTTGTTGTCCCGGTCCGCCAGCGCGCTCAGGTCGTTCTTCGCGAGGGACGTGTCGGGCCCGCCCTTGACGGCGACGCCCGTCCACGTGTCCTTGTCGTCGTAGAAGCGGCTCTCGCCCTGGGTGCCGGAGTTCTTCACCTGGGCGTGGGAGATGATGAAGGCCTCGAAGTCACCGGGCGCGACGCCCTTGAGGTCCGCGATCGCGGCGAGCATCTGCTTGAAGATGTCGACGCCGATCTTCTTGTGCTTGCCCGCGGCCTTGCTCCAGACCATGTCGATCTGGGGCGCGGCGAACTTCTTCTTGTCGACGACGCCCTTGGTGTCCTTGCAGAACTTGGCGAAGATCGTGTTCGTCATCTGGTCGACGCGGTAGATTTTGCAGAAGTTGGCGAAGACCTCGTCGATGGAGCCGCCGCCACCGCCTGCCGCGTCCTCCTTGCGCCGCGAGTTGCCCCGCTGGATGGCCTGGAGCTTGCCCGCGGCCTTGGCCTTGTCGTCGGCGGGCGCGGCGAGCAGCTTCTGGACGTCGGCGACGTTGACCGTGCCGCCCTTGCTCAGGGCGCCGAGCTGCGACGCGATGGCGTCGTAGGCGGCGATCTTGTCCTGGTCGCTCGCCGAGGCGCCGGCGCCCATGGTCGCCGGGCGACGCCGCGTCGATCGCGGTGCGTCTCGAGAGCGCGCTAGCAGCCCCGGAGTTTTTGGCGCGTCGGCACTTCAAGAATCCCCGCCCGTAAATCGTCCACGGTGCACCGGTCGTTGCCCTTATCACCGCGCGGCCTTGACCTTGTCCGTGAGGTTCGACGACGACGGGCGGCGCGCCGTGGCGCCGAGCTGGGCGGCGTGGCAGGCGCCCTCGAGGGCGTACCACCAGGGCTCCAGGTCGCCGGCGGACTTGTCGTCGACGGCCGCGAGGTACCAGGTCCGGTCGCCCGTGACGAGCGCGAGGCCCGCGGCGCGCTTGCCCTTCTCGCCCGCGTCGGCCGTGCGGCGCTTCATCTCCGTGACGGCGCCGAGGCGCACGGCGCCCTTGTAGGGCCGCGCGGCCGCGCCCGCGACGAGGTCGCGGAACTTGTCCTCGTCCTTGAAGTACATGAGCACGGGCTCGTCGGGCGGAGGGATCTCGCCCTCGACGTCCGTGCAGGTGACGCCGCTGAAGAGGGCGAAGTAGCGCTTGCGCCAGGCCGTGTTGATCTCGCCGCGCTTCCGGAGCCAGCCCGCGTGGAGCGGCGTGTGCGAGTTCGGCTGCTTCGCGGCCTGTGGTGATTCAACGTCGCTTCAACGTGGGCGTGCCGCGCGCGCGCGTTCCGTAAACCGCATCCACGCGTCGGGAGCGCTCCGAGGGATGATCGCTCGTCCAAAAATCAGCCGAAACGAGTGGAAAGCGGCCGAGCGAGGAGCCTTTGAAGTCGGGACGTTCGCGCCCGTTTCCCGCCCCGTTCGCGGCCTTCCACTTGTCCGCGGCCGGCGCGACGACGCCGCCGTCGCCGGCGGCCGCCGCGCTCAGGCGCCGCTGGCGCGCCGCGGCCGCGGCCTTGGCCGCCGTGAGCGCCGCGCCGCCCGCGGGCAGCGCCTGGGCAGGACAAGAGAGATGCAACGTCGCTTCAACGTGAGTGTTCCGCGCGCGCGCGTTCCGGGAAAAGCATCCACGCTTCGAGACCGTTCTAAGAGATGATCGCTCGTCCAAAAATCAGCCGAAACGAGTGGAAAACGGCCGAGATATGAGGCTTTGAAGTTTGGAATTTCGCTCTCTTGTCCTGCCCTGGGCAGCGCCTCCTCCTCGGCGCGGAGCGCCGCGGCCCAGGCCTGCGCGTCGGAGACGTCGCGCGCGCGGAGGCGGATCGCGTCCGCCGTGCCCTGGCTCGGCCCCGCCGACGTGTGCTTCATGGACTTGATGGGCCGCCGGGGCCCGGCGGGCGCGCCGGCGTCGTCCTCGCGCGCGACGAGCGTGAACTCGCGGCCCGGCGCCGCGCCCAGGGGCTTGAGCACCTCCAACCCCTGGTCCAGGGGCACGATGGCCCGCGGCGGCTTCTCGGCGACGTCGGCGTCGCCCGGCGACAGGAAGTAGTAGAGGCAGCCGTCGTTGAGCACGAACCAGAGCTTCCGCCAGCGGTGCTTCACGGAGAAGAGGCCCTTGTCGTTGCACTTCTCGAGCCAGCCGGCCTTGCGCGCGCCCATGTAGGTGATGAGCTCCGACTCGTAGAGGTCGCCCTCGTCCATCTTGATCTCCTCGCGCTTCACGCCGTCGTACAGCGCCTCGAGCAGCGCCCGCGGCAGGTCCGCGCCGCCCGCGTCGATGCCCCGGTTGTTGGACACGAAGCCGTCGCGCGTCATGCGGTCCGCGTCCTTGATGTTCTGGGAGTGGAGGTCCGTGTTGAGCATGACGAGGGAGAAGCTCAGGACGTACGCCGCGTCCTCGCTGTACGGCCAGGGCTCGGCGCTCTCCGGCGGGTTCGCCCTCTTGAAGGCCCGCGCGAAGCCCTCCATGACGCGGTCGATGCACTGCGCCTCGCCGGGGAGCCGGAACTTGCGCAGCAGCACGCGGAGCGCGCCGTCGAGCGTCGCGCCGGGGCCCAGGTCGCCGCCGAGCAGGCCCAGCCACGCGTCGAACGTGGGCGTCGCCAGCGGGTGCGTGCCGCCGAAGAACTCGCCCACGCGCCGCTTGCTCAGGCCCGTCTCCAGCGCCCCGGCGACCCAGGCCGCGAGGCCCTCGGGCGTGCCGTCCCAGAGGCCCATGCCCTTGAGGTATTCCAGGCCGAGCTTGGGCTTCCCGTTGAAGCGCAGCACCGCCGTCTTCCGGTGCTTCGTCTTCTCGCCCTCGCGCCGCGCCGCGTCGCCCCCGTCCGCGGACGCCAGCTGCGCCGCCATCGTAAACCGCGGGCAGCCTCGCGCTTGCCGAAGCGCACAAGCGGCAACGTCGACACGTCGCCCCGATGATGACCCGGCTATATTCCACGCGTTCACACTCGGTCACCGAGGTCGCTGGCATCGTCGACGTCTCGGCGCGACAGCGAGACCCAATCCGCAGCCGCTTCGACCGCGCTCGCCGGTCCTCGCATAGCGCCCGCGCGCCGTCGAGCGACCGAGCGCACGCCGTTCGCGATGGCGTCCGTCGGTAGCCGCCCGTCGTCGCGCCGGCGAGCGCTCGCCGTCGCGGCGCTGTCCGTGGGCCTGGGCAGCGCCCAGTTCCAGTTCGAGATCCCCGCGGGCATGTTCGAGCAGATGCACGGCATGGGCGGCGGCGGGCGCATGGGCGGCGGCGGCGGCGGCCGGCCGCGGGGCCCGAGCGCGCCGCAGGGCGTCCACGACAACTTCGACTGGCTCAAGGCGTCGAGCTGGAACTGGAACAACTGGCGGGACGTGCGCTTCGGCGCCGACGGCCGCTTCGAGGCGCCGACGCCCGACTGCGAGCGCGGCGGCTGCAAGTGGTCCGCGGACGAGACCACCGTCTACATCCGCTGGGGCGAGGCGGGCCTCCACAAGCTCAAGCCCACGGCCATGGAGGCGGCGCCGGGCACGAAGCTCAAGGGCAAGCGGGTCCAGGACGGCGAGCGCTGCACGGCGACCTTCCTCTCCAAGGACGAGCGCGACGAGGACCTGGACTTGTACGAGGTCTTGGGCATCGACGACGAGGTGGACCAGAAGGCCATCAAGAAGGCCTACCGCAAGCTGAGCCTGAAATTCCACCCGGACAAGTGCGCCAAGGACATCGAGGTGCCCAAGGTCGGCGGCGACGAGGGCGAGACGGAGACGGTGGAGTGCGCGAAGATGATGAACCGCGTGAACCTGGCCTACGAGGTCCTCGGCGACGAGGACAAGCGCATCCTCTACGACACGGGCGGTTTGGAGAGCGTCAAGGAGGGCATCGAGGAGGACGAGGGCGGCGGCGGCGGCATGGACCCCTTCTCCATGCTCTTCGGCGGCGGCCAGCAGCGGAAGCGCGGCGGCGGCAAGCGGGGCCAGGACGCGCACGTGGAGCTCGCCGTGAGCCTCGAGGACATGTACCTGGGCAACGTCGTCGACGCGGCGATCACGCGGCGCGTCGTCTGCCGCAAGTGCGCGGGCAAGAAGGACGGCAAGTGCGCGGGCTGCGGCCGCTGCCCGAACGAGGTCCGCATGGTCCAGCGCGAGATGCGGCCGGGCATGATCGTCCAGCAGCAGGAGGAGGTCCAGTCCAAGGAGAAGTGCAAGAACGAGGAGACGGTGCTCAAGGCCCACGTCGAGCAGGGCATGGACAACGGCGCCGAATTGACCTTCCCCCGCATGTCCGAGCAGCTCCCGGGCCAGATCCCGGGCAACATCATCATGGCCCTCAAGCAGAAGCCCCACGCCAAGTTCACGCGCAAGGGCAACGACCTCCACATGGACATGGTCATCACGCTCAAGGAGGCGCTGTTGGGGTTCTCGCGCAAGTTCGACCACCTCGACGGCCACCCCGTCGTCGTGAGCTCCTCGAAGATCACCAAGCCCGCGGAGGTGAAGCGCATGAAGGGCGAGGGCATGCCCATCCACAACTTCCCCTCGGAGCACGGCGACCTCTTCGTCAAGTTCCAGTTCAAGATGCCGAACCAGCTCTCCGAGGAGCAGAAGACGCTCATCGGCCAGATCTTCGACCAATAGATCCCTGGCGAGCGCCGGCGCGCGCAATCTTTTAACCTCTGCCAGCTAGCTAATGGACGACGGTTATGCGTCTCTATGTTGAAGGGCAACGTCGCGAGGCCTATCTTGGTTGAAGACGCTTGAAGTTGATCGATTTCGGCGGTGCGACCTCCGAGCTCTCGAGCGTCGCGTACACCATGCGTCGCGCCGCCTTAATGCTGCTGGCGCTCTGCGCCGCGGCGCGAGCGCTGCAGCTGCCGCGCCGCCACGCGCGCGCGAAGCGCGCGCGGACGACGGCCCTCCGCGGCGGCGCCAAGCCGCTGGCGAGCCTGGGGGCCGCCATCGGCGCGTCACCCGCGTCGCTCTTTAACGCGGTCTTCGGCGGCCTCGCCGGCACGGCCGTCGTCGCCAAGGTCGCGAGCGCGCCGCCCGGCGGCGACGACGCGGCGGAGTCGTCCGCCGCGGCCGCCGCCGTTCGGCGGCGGTTCCTGCCGGTCTTCTGGCTTCTGAGGATGGCGGACTGGCTCCAGGGCCCGTACTTCTACGAGGTCTACTCCTCGAAGGTCTTCGGCGGCAAGGCGGCGTCCATGGACCTCGTGTCCCAATTGTTTCTCGCGGGATTCCTAAGTACTGCGCTCTTCGGGCCGTACGTCGGCCGGCTCGCGGACAAGCGGGGCCGGAAGCTCGGCACGCTGGCCTTCGCGGTGCTCTACGGCGCCGCGGCGCTCACGACGAAGAGCTCGCTGCTCTGGGTGCTCTTCGCGGGGCGCGTGCTCTCGGGCGTGGGCACGTCGCTGCTCTTCTCCGCGCCCGAGGCGTGGCTCGTCGGCGACGCGACGAAGAACGACTGCGGCGCGTCGCTGGGCGGCGTCTTCGGGGCGGCCTACGCGGGCGACGCGATCGTGGCCATCGTCGCGGGCCAGCTGGCGTCCCTGGCCGCGGCCGCGCGGGGCCCGACGGGGCCCTTCGAGCTGAGCGTCGGCTTCCTGGGCCTCGGCGCGCTGGCGGCGTCGCTGCTCTGGACGGAGAACGTCGCGGCGTCGGCGGACGGGTCCCAGGGCGCGCCGACGATCCGGGAGGCCTTCGACGTGGCCTGCGCGGACCGGAAGATCCTCCTCGTCGGCGCCGCGCAGGCGCTCTTCGAGGGCGCGATGTACATCTTCGTGCTCCAGTGGCCGCCGGCGATGTCCCGGGCCGTCGGGGCCGCCTTCGGCGAGGGCGCCAAGGTGCCCTTCGGCACCATCTTCTCGTCCTTCATGGTCTGCTGCCTGCTCGGGTCGACGGCGTTCCAGCGGCTCTCGGCCGCGGCCGTGCGCACGGAGTCGTCGACGCTGGGCATGCTCGCGCTGGCGACGGCGGCCATGGGCACGGCGGCGGCGACGGCGGGCCGCGGGGTCGCCGGGGCGACGCTCGCGTCCTTCGTCGCCGCGTTCTTCGCGTTCGAGCTCTGCGTGGGCATGTACTTCCCGTCCATCGGCACGCTGCGCTCCAAGTACATCCCGGACTCGCACCGGTCCGTGATCATGAACCTGTTCGGCATCCCGCTGAACGCCATCGTCGTCGGCTGCTTCCTCAGCATCAAGAAGCTCGGCGTCTCCGGCGCGCTCTCCGTGGCGACGGCCGCGCTGGGCCTCGCGACGCTCGCGGCGGCGGAGCTCGCGCGCATGACGAAGCCCAAGGCCGAGGCCGTCGCCGCCTAGGCCGTTCCCGCCCCCTAGATCGCCTCGAAGATATAGATCGCGTCGCCGCGGACAAGAAGGAGTTAACATGGGGAGGGGGGCTTCGTCCCGACAGAAATTCAGTCGTCGCCCGTCTTCGCCGCTCGCCTCCGGCCGCTCGACGACCGCGCCGCCGCGCGCTTCGCCGGCTGCTTCCGCGGCGTCGCGAACGCGCGCGCCTTGTCGAGCGGGAGCTCTGGCGGGGGCGCGCCCCGCGGCGGCTTGCGCTTCTTCTCGAGGGGCGTCGACGCGACGGCGCGGGGCCGCGGCGCCTTGACGGGCGACCCGAAGAGGGCCGGCGCCGCGGCGACGGGCTCCGGCGCCGGCGCGACGGCGGCGCGCGCCGCCGGCTCGTCGTCGTCGCTGTCGAAGGCGAGCCGCCGCCGCGGCGCGAGCTGCGCGTCGTCGTCGAGGGCGCGGCGCCGCCGCGGCTTGCGCGGCGCGAGGAGGAGCGCGGCGTCGTCGCGCCGCAGCGGCTCGGGGGAGTCCATGCGCTTGAACGATTCCGCGCGCAAAAGTGGGCTGCGTAAAGATATAAGCTGTTATTGACTCCAACGACAAACCTTCTCAACAACGCGGTTCCGCCGAAGTGGGAGAGATGACGGCGCCGAAGGCGGAGACGGCCTAGCGTTGCGTCGCGCCTCCGCGACCGATGGACGCGGCGTCGGCGCCGGCGGCGGCGCCGGACGATGCGCCGGCGGCGGAGCTCTGGGTGCGGCCGCCGACGCCGCTCGACGGCGGCGCCGGCACGCCGTCCGCCGCGGCGACGCCGAGCCGGGACACGCTGGACGTGGCCATGTCGCCGCAGGCGCTGTCGCGGGCTTTGACCCTCGAGCTCGCCCTCGAGGACGAGGGGTCGCACGCGACGCTCGACTCGCTGGACTCGGACGCGGCCGGGTCCTACGTCGGCCCGCTCGGCGACGACCCGGCGTTCGACGCGGGCGCGCTCCTCGCCGGCGCGCCGGCGCCCGCCGAGGCCGAGGCTGAGGCGCCGCCGCGCGCGTACGAGAGCCGCCTGGGCAAGAACCTGGACCGCGCGCACACGAGCCGCGGCTTCAGCCTCCGGATCAAGCGCCCCAACAAAGGGGAGCCTGTGAACTACGACGAGCCGCCCAAGGCCAGCGCGCGCCTGCGCCACGCGAACTCGCGCAAGGGCGGCCAAACCCGGGCGTCCCGCGACGCCGACTGGCGCGCGCGGCCCCTGACGCCGGGGAGCGACGCGTCGTCGCGGCCGCCGAGCCGCCAGAGCCTCTCCATGGGCGGCGGCGGCCGCGTGCGGCCGAAGCAGCTCGTCTGCTACCTCTGCGGGCTGGACTTTGGCACGTCGTCCCTCAAGATCCACGTCAAGAGCTGCATCCGCCGGCGCACGGGCGAGCAGAAGCGCCTGCCCGAGGAGTGGCGGCGGCCCATCCCGCACGCGCCGGCCGACGACGACTGCCCCATGCCGTCGTCGAACCGGGACCCCAGCGGCGCCTTCGACCGCTTCAACGTCGAGGCCTGGCGCATCTACTGCGCCGAGTCCGTCGGCGAGACCTGCGACGTCTGCCACGCGCCCTTCGCGGACGTCGACGCGAAGCTCAAGCACGCGTGCGAGGGCGCGGTGTCCGGCGCGACGCGGCCCAAGTGGCTGCCCAAGTGCGTGCCGACGGCCTACGAGCTCGAGCACGGCGACGCCTCGACCGGCGCGTCCGGGGGCGCCGGCCGCCGGTCCGCGAAGAAGGTCAAGTCCGTCCAGGGCCTCCTCGACGAGATCGAGCAGCTCAAGAGCGACGTCGCGGGCTCCAAGTGGGCCCTCCAGATGGAGCGCAAGCGCAAGGCCAACGCCGAGCGCAAGGTCGACGCCGCGCGCCAGGCCGCCGTCGACGGCGTCAACGCCAAGGAGCGGGAGATGCTCGAGCCAGGGCAGCAAAAGAGAGCGAAATTCCCAACTTCAAAGGCTCCTTTCTCGGCCGTTTTCCGCTCGTTTCGGCTGATTTTTGGACGAGCGATCATCTCTCGGAACGCTCTCGAAGCGTGGGCGCTTTTTCTGGAACGCGCACGCGCCGGAACACTCAAGTTGAAGCGACGTTGAATCACCCTTTTGCTGCCCAGGCTCGAGCGCCTCGACGCGGAGCTCGCGAAGAAGGAGCAGTCGTGGCTCGAGATCATGGCCAAGATGAAGGCCGCGGCCGCCGCCGTCAAGGCCAAGGCCGCCTGGAAGGCCGCCAAGTCCCACTCCAACGACGAGCAGCTCAAGGAGGCCCTCAAGCAGGCCGAGGACCAGGCCAAGGAGGCGCTCCACGAGGCGAACATGGCCCACATGGAGGCGCTCGCGAAAGCCGACGGCCGCACGGACGACGCGAAGAAGGCCCTCGTCCAGCAGGCCGAGGAGAAGGACAAGGAGAAGCTGCGGGCCCTCGAGCACCAGCGGGAGCAGTTCGAGGACAAGCTCCACGCGCAGGTCGAGGCCCGCGCGGCACGAGCGCGCGCGACTTCAAAGGCGCCGAGCGCGGCCGTTTTTCCGCTCGTTTCCGCTCCGATGTTCGGACGAGCGCCCATCTCTCGGAGCGCGCTCTCTGACGCGTGCGCGCGCCCGTCGAAGCGACGTCTTTCAGGTCGAGTCCGCGTCCGCCAAGCTCGCGCGCGCGAACATGGGCGCGTCCGTCAAGATCGCCAAGTCGGAGAAGCGCTGGGCGGACAAGCTGCGGAGCGCCGAGGCCGAGGCGCGCTACCGCGAGGAGTGCCTCGTCGAGGAGTTCGCGGACGTGCAGGAGGATGACGCGCTCCTCGCGCTCGGGGCCCGCGTCGCCGCGCGGAGCCTCACCGACGCGTCGAACAGGAAGCTCATCGCGCGGATGAGCGCGCAGCACGCCGCGGCGACGGAGGAGGCCGTCAAGGCGACGCGCGACGCCTGCGACGACGTCGTCCGGAAGATGGAGGCCAAGTGCGAGGACGCCGTCGCCAAGGCCGCCGTCGAGGCCGCGTGGGTCACGGCCAAGGCCGCGACGCCCACGGACGACGAGTCGCAGATGAAGGTCGCCAAGGCGCAGCAGATGGCCGTGCGGGCCATGGCGAAGCACCGCGCCGAACTCACCCACCGGTTGGGTTCTTCCGGCCAAACTTCGAACCTCGCTCGCTCGGTCGCGTCGACGTCGATGCGGCTGATTTTTGGACGCATCGGTCGGGTTCTCGAAGCACGGCAGAGAGGCTCGCGTCGAAATACGCGCCCATTGACGTCGGGTGGAAGATTTGAGTTTCCAGGCGAAGCACGCGGCCATGCACGGCAAGGCGCTGCAGCGCACGGAGAAGATCTACGCGGACCGCGAGGCCCTGCTGAAGGCGACGCAGACGAAGCAGCTCTTCGAGTTCTACGACAAGTGCCGGCGCGGCGTCGACGCGGCGCTCGGGCGCGAGGCGGCCGAGGTCGCCGCGGCCGCGCGGCGCGATCTCGAGGCCGCGGATTTGCTCGTCGACGAGCTCGAGAAGGCCGACGCGACGATGGAGGAGTGCTACGCGGAGCTCGCGGACGAGTACCAGGCGAAGCACGACGACGCCGTCGCGACGATGGACGCGGACCTCGGGCGGCGGCTCGGCGAGGCCGAAAACGACTTCTCGCGCGCGCTCGCGGAGGAAAAAAACGCGTTCGCGCGCGAGCTCTCGCGCGGCGCCGCGCAGCAGGCCGTGGACCTCTGCCGGCTGCGCGAGGCCTTCGAGGTCGCCCCCCCGGAGATCCAGACCGTGCTCAAGGAGCGCGAGTGCCAGACGGAGCCCGACGAGGCCGCGGAGCAGCTCGAGGACCTAAGGGAGGCGCTCGACCAGGCGCTCTCGCTCGCGGCGGCCGCCGAGTCCGGCGACGCCGAGGTGACGCACGCGGCCCTAGCCATGCGCGCGCGGAGCTACCCGGACAAGGGCGCCGAGTTCTGGGCGACGCGGATCAAGGCCGTCGACTGTGTGGAAATCAACCAGTGAGCTGGGACGTCGGGGCCAAACTTCAGAATTCTCTAGCTCGGTCAAATCGAAGTCGATTCGGCTGATTTTTGGACGAATCGATTGCTCTCGTCGAGTTCTCGAAGCACGGCGGAAGTGCTCGTGTCAAAACATTCGAATACGCGCACATTGAAGTCTGGTTGAATATTTGATTTGCACACAGGCCGTCGAGACGGAGTTGAAGGACGAGCAGCGCGTGTCCGCGGAGCTCCGCGAGGCGAACAAGGCCTTCGAGGACGAGCGGAGCGAGCTCGTCCTGAGCCACGGCGAGGACGTCGCGAGGCTCCGCGAGGACTATCGGATCTGCGCGGAGGAGAAGACGGAGGCGCGCGAGAAGATCAAAACGCTCGAGGATTTATTGGAGAAGACGGCGCCCAAGGATTTGAAGGAGGCGCGGCGCAACGTCGAGAAGTTCAGCGAGATGTTCGACGCGGCGTCCAAGGAGGCCGCGGACCTCCGGGCCGAGCTGGGGAGGGCGGAGAAGGCGCTGGAGAAGGCGAACGGCGAGAAAGACGAGTGGAAGGCCCAGGCCAAGGGCCTCGAGATCGCCCTCGGGTCCGCGAAGCAGGCCCAGTCCGCCGCCGAGAGCGGCGTCAAGGAGGTTTTAGTGGAAGTCAAGCCCGTCGTGCCGACGGCGGACGCGGGCACGTGGACGGGCGACGACGACGGGGGCCCGTCGCCGCGGAAGCTCGCGCAGCCGCTCCCGCCCGTGCTCAAGGTCGAGCACGCCAAGGCCAACGACGCGAGCTCCCTGGGTTCCTCCCGCGCGCCGTCCTGGCGCTACATGACCAAGCGCGGCGGCTGCGGCGTCACGCGCGGCCGCGCCGCCTACGTCGAGATCGGCCGCGCCGCGCGCGCCGCGCGGCTCCGGGAGGAGGAGGACCGCGCGCTGCGGCTGCGCAACGTCGACTGCCCGCCCTTCCTGAAGGGCCAGAACCTCTTCGTCGCGCCGCCGCCGGGCGCGCCGGGCGCGCTCCACAGCCCGCACTCGCACTCCGCGTCGTCGACGTCGTTCCCGCGCGTCGCGCCGGACCCGCGCGCCGTCGTGCGCAACGTGTCCACGGCGCCCATGAACGTCGTCCGGGCCCACATGCTCGCCGCGCAGACGCGGTAAGGCGAGTCGGGCTTTTGTGTGATCGACGCGGCACGGCACCTGCACCGCGAGCTGATTTGCGCCGGTCTTGTCACCCGACACAGCGTCGACGCTCGTCGTGGCCTTCGCGTGAGCAACTCGACGTTCCGCCACGCCGCGGACGATCGCGCGCGCCGCGTTCGCCGTCGCTAGGACGCCGTAGGATCCACCCATGGCCATCATCATCGGCATCACGAACAAGGGCCTCGTCGCCGCGGCGGCGGCGGCGGCGGCGGCGGCGCTGGTCATCCAGCGCCTCTGGCGCCGGCGCAAGGACGTCACGGGCCGCCACGACGCGCGCGTCATGGTCGTGCTCGGCGCCCAGTGGGGCGACGAGGGCAAGGGCAAGCTCGTCGACGTGCTCGCGGGCCGCGCGGACCTCGTGTGCCGGTTCAACGGAGGGGCCAACGCGGGCCACACGCTCGAGGTCGACGGCAAGAAGTACGCGTTCCACCTCCTGCCCTGCGGCATGCTCCGGGACACGTGCGTCAACGTCATCGGCAACGGCGTCGTCGTCCACGTGCCGACGCTCTTCGAGGAGCTCAAGCAATTAGGGGACGACTCGTCGCTCGAGAAGTTGGTCATCTCGTCGCGCGCGCACGTGCTCCTCGACGGGCACCGCGTCATCGACGGCATGCTCGAGGCCGAGAAGGCGGGCAAGGGCGGCGCGCTGGGGACGACGAAGCGGGGCATCGGGCCCTGCTACGCGTCGAAGGCGAACCGCAACGGCCTCCGCTTCTGCGACCTCGTCGGCGACGACGCGGGCCTCGTGGCGAAGCTGGCCGCCATGCGCGCCTTCCAGGCGCTCCACTACGCCGGCGCCGCGCCGCCGACGGTCGCCGACGACGACGCGGAGCTGGCCGCGCTCCGGGGCTTCCGGGACCGGCTCGTTGCGCGCGGGTCCGTCCGCGACACCGTGACGTACATGGCCGACGCCTACGACGGCGGCAAGATCGTCCTCGCCGAGGGCGCGAACGCGGCGCTGCTCGACCCGGACTTCGGGACCTACCCCTTCGTCACGTCTTCCACCACCACCGTCGGCGGTGTCTGCACGGGTCTGGGCATCCCGCCGTCCAAGGTCGACTGCGTGTTAGGCGTCGTCAAGGCCTACACGACGCGCGTCGGCGCGGGCCCCTTCCCCTCGGAGCTCGATTGTGCAGTTGAGGGCTCCCCGGGCCACCACCTCCAGAACGTCGGCCACGAGTACGGCACGACGACCGGACGGAAGCGGCGCTGCGGCTGGCTCGACGTGCCCCTCCTGCGCTACTCCCACGCGCTCAACGGCTACGACTCGCTGAACCTCACGAAGCTGGACGTGCTCACGGGCCTCACAACGCTCAAGCTCGGCGTCGACTACGTCGTCGACGGCGCGACGCTGCCCCGGGGCTACATGCCGCCGGGCCTCGACGAGCTCGCCAAGGTCGAGCTCGACTATCTCGAGTTCCCGGGCTGGACCGAGGACATCAGCGGCTGCGCATCCTTCGCCGACCTGCCACCGAACGCGCGCGCGTACGTCCGCGCCATCGAGGCCCACGTCGGCGTGCCCATCTCCTGGGTCGGCGTCGGGCCGGGCCGGGACGACATGTTCATCATGCCCGGCGTCCACTAGGGCGCCGCCCCGAACACCCCCAAGCACGATCGCCCGAACAACCTAAGCGCCCCCCCCTACATGACGACGTCCGCGTCCGCGAGGTCGTAGTCGCCCATGATGTCGCCGCCGTCGCCGTGGGCGTAGAACGCGGCCTTCTTCGCTGCGGCCTGGGCCGCCTGGCGCTTCGAGTTTTGGTCCTTGACCTTCTTGAGCCGCGTGAAGTCCTCGCGCTCGAGCTCGTCGAGCTCCGACGTGATGTAGGACAGCGTCTTCTCGATGCGCGGCAGCGTGACGTTCTCGAGCGCGTTGACGCGGCGGTTCGTGACCTTGAGCGCCTCGTCCATGGTCACGAAGGACGTCTGCAAACTTGCGAGCTTGACGAGCACGGCCAGCAGGTTCGTGAACTTCTCCTTGCACTCCGCGATCTTCCGGCCGCCGCCGGCGAGGCCGATGTTCTCCAGATGCTCGGCGCCCGTGTCGAACTGGCGGAACACGGGGATCTTCACGCCGGCGATGTTGTCCGTCTGGCCCGTGACGCGGACCGACGCGACGAAGTTGCCCTCCAAGACCTTCGTCTTGAAGTCGCCGGCCGCGTACTGCGCGGCCGTGAGGGAGAAGTAGGCCGTGGAGCAGGACTCGGACATGGTGCCCTTGGTCTTGTAGATCTCCTTGGCGATGTCGCGGAACCGCGCCTTCAAGGCGTCGGCCTTTTTCTTCAGGAGCTGGTGGCCTTTGGACGCGCCGGCCTTCTTGCCCTTGTAGGTCTGCAGCGCCATGCGCGTCGGCGGCACCTGGTCCGCCATGGCGCACTACCGCGCAAAGCGGCGGCGCGCGGGTCGACCGGGCCGAGCGGCGCGCGCGGGCCTCGGCGGCGCGGCAGCTCTCGCTCGTCCACACGCCGGAGAGCTGGACGGGCCGAGGCCGACCCCCGGCCACGGCGGCGTCTGCCGCGCCGCGCCGCCGGCCGCGGAAGTGGCCGCGGCGCCAGCCTAGCCTCAGCCTGAGCCACGGAGTCCCTCGGGTGTTACGAGGGGCGCGCGCGCGGGGCTCGTGGGCCATAAACAGGGCCGCCGCCGCGCGCGCGGGTCGGGAGGGGAACAGGGGCGGCGTCCGAGTCGCCGCCTTTGGCCGGTCACAGGGCGCGCCGCGCCGCGGCGGTCACGGCTCCGCGGCGCCCGGGGGCTTGTCGCCGAGGCTCCGCGACTGGCGCGGGGCGCTGCCGGGCGTCGCGTTCGGCTTCACGCCGAGCGTCGACTTCGCGCGGCTCAGGATTGTCGCGTTGTTGCTCCGCCGCCGGCCCGGCGACCGCTCCGCGGCGAGGAGGAACTCGGCCATCGCGGCCGCGGCGGCGTCGGACGACGCCGGCGCGTCGAGGCCCGCGGGCGCGTCGGCCGACGCCGGCCCGTCGAAGCCCGTCTTCGCGCGGCGGAGCGCGCGCGCGGCCGCCTGCGGCGGGCTCTTCGTCGGCGGCGGCGTCTTGGCCCGCTCGCCCCTGGCCTTGCCGCCGTCCGTCGACGACCGGCGCCGCGGCGACCGCGTCGCGGCCATGCGGAACTGGGCCATCGTGAAGTTCTCGACGGCGTGGTCGTCCGCGTTGCGGCACGACTGCCACGCGCACTGGTCGCAGACGGAGCCGCAGGTGCCGCAGAGCACGTCGCCGTGGGCCTCGAGGCCGCAGCGGCCGCAGGTCTTGCGCTTGAGGCACGCCGCCTCCTCGCGCGCGACGGCCGCGTTGAGCTCCCGCAGATCGAAGGGCGCCGCGTCCTCGAGGACCCGGCAGTGGCCGCACCGCAGGCACAGGCGCACGCCCAGGCCCGCGGCGTCGCCGCAGCCCGGCAGCAGCTCGCCCTTGACTTCGCTCCCCGAGGGCAGCACCGTTTTTTTCTCGTCGCCCTTCGCGTAGACGCGCAGGCCCCGGCCGTGGTCGCAGTCCGGCAAACTCCCGGACTTGGCGCGCCGGACGTCGCAGCGCAGCGCGTCGGCGAAGGCTAAAACGTCGAGCGCGGCGCGCGCGCAGGCCACGTGGCAGCCCTCGCCGACGGCCGTCGTCGCCAGCCGCGCGCCGTCGATGAGCGCCTTTGCCGTTTCCAAGAGCGGCCGCTCGCGGTCGCACGGGTCCGCCATTTCCGGCGACGCGTCCCTCAGAAACGTGATCGCCTCCAGCCGCAGCAGCCCGCCGGCGTCGCGCTCCACGACGCGGCAGCACCGCACGCCGCAAAACACCAGGTCCACCTCCATGCCCGGGTCCGCGTTCTGGGCGTCGCGGCGGAAGGCGAGGGTGAGCTCCTTGGCCTGGCGGTCCCGCTTGTGGAAGGCGAGCGAGAAGGTCGCCAGGTCCCAGGTCGCGCCGCTGACGACGACGCCCGTCGGCCCGGCGAACCCCACCCCGCGGAGCTGCATGGCGCCGGGGCGATTGGCCGGAGCTGCCCACCTCCTCCCTGAGTTTCATCGAGATTTCTTCAACGTTGCCGCCATTCAAGTTGCCGAAGCCTTGCCGAGGCTTAAGCCGAGGCGCGGGCGCGCCGCGCGACGTTACGACGCGTCCGCGGGAAGCCCGAGGGGCGGGGGCACGCGCCGCGCGCGGCGCCAGACCTGGCAGATCCACTTCGTGTCCACGGCCGGCAGGGACGCGTGCGTCGTGCGGTCGTCCGCGCGGTGCGAGTCCGCGTCCGCGGGGAAGAAGACGCACGCGGCCCCGCGCCGCGGCGCCACGGCCACGTCGAGCTTGTCGAAGGACGTCTCGCCGCCCGCGGCGACGTCGTTGAGGTAGAGGATCACCGTCGCGAGCCGCTGGCCGCCGGCGTCGCCCCAGTCCCTCTCCGGGTCCGCGGACGCGTCGTTGTGCGTCGCGAACTTGGCGCCGCGCTCGTAGCGCGTGACCACGGGCGCCTCGAAGTCGCGCGGCGACGCGCCGAGGGCCGCCGCGAGCCGGGCCACGAGCGGCGCCGCGAGCGCCGCGTCGCCCGCGCCGTTGAGCGCGACGGCCTCGGACGTGCGGCCCCCGGCCGCGCGCGCCTGGGAGACGGCTTTCACGACCTGGGCGAGCGCGACGGTCAGCGCCCCGGCCAGGGCGAGGACGGCGCCGCCCGCGGCCGCGGCCGCGGCGACGTCGCCGCCGGTGGCGTCGAACGTCGCGGCCGCGCGCGGCAGGGGCGCCGCGAGCAGCAGCGGCGCGAGGCTCCGGAGCTTGGCCGCGTCGAACTGCGCCGCCGACGGGTTGCTCCGCTCGAGGCCGCGGCGGGACGCGTGGGCGACCAACGCCTCGCACTCGGCCGCGGTCAGCAGGTCGTCGACGACCGCGACGCGCGGCGACTCGCTGAGGATCCGCAGGGTCGCGCCCGGCGGCGCGCGCAGCGTCGGCGGGGCCGCGGGTTCGCTCGTGCGCGGCGGCGCGCGCACGGCCGGCGCGGCGGCCGCGGAGGCCGACCGCTGCAGCGCCGAAGCGGCCGAAGCGCGCGGCTGCCGGAGCGCACGGATCGGCGCGGCGAGCGTTAGCAGGATCAAAAGGCGTTGCATGGCTGCTTATTTATGGCTTTTGTGGGTTGCAAAGGTGCTGAATCGGTGTCAAGCAGGTGCAGATCCGCCAGAACAGCATAAGGCCTTGACGGAAGATCGGACAATAGGATGACCGGACAAAAAAAAGGCCCCAAGAGGCCTGGGGTGCGCGCGCCGCGGTGCGAGATGCCGTCGCGCCCGCCGGGACACGTCGTCGTCTTCGCAGCGACGGTCGGCGATGACGCTCGCGTGTGCGTCCGGTGGCTGGCCGGTAACTGGCAGGAGCTCTCTGGGGCCGCGCGCGGCGTCGATCTCGCCGGGGTCCGACCCACTTCTGCCGCAACGATTTCGAGAGAAGCTGCTCCGAAATCGCGGCTGCTGGCAGTCGGCCCCAAACGCCATCCACGTGGTCCAAAGTTCGCAGGAACTCTCTTATATAGAGATCCATTAACGCGCCGGCGCGCGCCAACGCGACGAGCGCCATGTGCATACCCACGTCCCCCGCCGACATCGCCGCCGCCGCCACGAAGGACGCGCCGTCGCCGAAGGCCGCCGCGGCGCCGAAAGCGGCCGCCGGTGGCCTGCGCTACCCCCTGACGAACCAGCAGCAGGAGTACGTGCTCGTCCTGGGCCTGCTGGTGGCCGGCTTCGCCACGGACCGCTTCGACAACCCGGGCGCGGCCGTGCGCCTGCGGCACGTCGCGGCCTATTATTTCGCGGCGGCGTGCGTCCGCCACGCGTACCACGAGTACCTCGAGTGGGCCTACTTCGCCTTTCCCGAGAAGCGCACGCAGAAGGACGCCAAAGTTCGCGAGGGCCGGGACCTCATGGGCCGCACGGACGACGAGCAGGCGTTGATCGAATGGCACGACCGTTTGACCGCGCTGTCGACGTTCGCGCTCCTCGTCGGCGGCTACGTCGCCTGGGGCGAGAAGCTCTACGTGGACGTCGCCCCGCGCCCGGACATCCCGGCCTACTGGATGCTGCGGGTCTTGGCGCACCACTACGCGCTCTCCTTCGGCATGTACTGGGCGCACCGCTACTTGCACGTGAACACGTTCCTCTGGCGCCACGTACACAGCCTCCACCACTACGCGAAGACGCCCCTGGCCCGGGCGACCTACATGGACCACTGGTTCGACAACTTCTTCAACGCCGTCATCTCCGAGGTCGCGGCGCTGCTCGTCGCGCCGTTGCCGTTCGGACTGTTGGTCGCGTCGCGGCTCTTCCGGATCTGCGAGTCGCTGGAGAAGCACAGCGGCCTGTCGGGGGGGCTGAACCTCGTGCACAGCGCCCAGCAGGTGCTGCCCTTCGCCCAGATGCCCCACCACCACGACTGGCACCACGAGGGCCACAAGGGCAGCAACTACACGTTCGCGTCGCTCGGCGGCCTCTGGGACGTGCTCTTCGAGACGCGCCACCAGGGCCGGGCGGCGGGCCACGCGGCGCCGGGCGCGACGCGGCGCGACGCGTTCCAGATCGCGACCGGCAAGCGGCGGCCGCGGATCAAGTGGGACCACCCGCTCGTGACGCCCCTGCCGCTCCTCGCCTTCTTCGCCGCCGCCGCGGCCCGCTGGCGCGCCCTCGGGGCCTGCGGCGCCGCCTAGGGGCCGACGCGCGCGCGCGGCGCGCCCGTTTTCATGCGTGTAGTCTTCAACGTCGGCGTAAAGTTTCTTCTTGCGGTCCCGCCGAGTAGCAGCCCGTGCTGGGCAGCTTGTCTTGACGCCGCGCGCCGCCGCGCGACGCCATGTCCATCAACCCGATGGGCGACTCCACGGGCGACTTGACGACGCTCGCGCGACAGGAGGACGACGCCGTCGTCGTCGGCGAGCGCTACGACACGGAGCCGAGCGCCGCGATTCCGGAGCCCCCGGCGACGGAGAGCCCGCCCGTGAGCAAGGAGTCGCGGTCCTCGAGCAGAGAGTGCCTCACGCTCTTCGGCACCGACTGCTAGGAGCGACGACGCGCGCGCGCCGGGCGACGAGCCGCGCGCGGCCCCCCCGCGGTACGCGCCCGCGCCGCGCGACGTTTAAAAAAAAAGGCGGCGGCGGACCCCCCTAGACGTCGCCCGGCTTGGGCGTCGCGATGTCCTCGGCGAGGGCCGCCGCGCCGGCCGTGCCGGCGCCGAGCTGGGCGTCGAGGTCGCGCTTGAGGTCGCGGATGATGCCGTGCGCGGCCTCCGAGTCCGCGCGCGTCCACTCGGGCGCCTCGGCGAGGCCGGAGGCCAGGGCGCGCTGTACGGCGAGGGCCTCGTACTGGAGGGCGATGGAGCCCGGGTAGTTCCAGGCGTGGCACCCGTCGTCCGCCGGCAGCGGGAACGTCATCGCGTCGTCCGCACTCTCCGTCCGCGACGCGCGCGTCGACAGCACCAGCGACGTCGGCGTGTGGTGCGCGGCGTCGAAGCGCAACGACCCGGACGTCCCGAGGACGACGGCGGTCTCGGGCGTGTCGCACTGGCCCGTGTAGAGCAGGCTCGCGACGCCCCCCCGGCCGACGCCCGCGCGCCGCGGCGCGAAGCGCAGCGCCGCCGCCACCGACAAATCGACGCCGTCGCCCGCGCCGAGCACGGCCGTCGCCCGGGCGTCGACGCAGGAAAAGTCCTTGGAGTCGAAGGCGAGCAGGGCCTTCTCCGCGAGGTACACCGCGATGTCCCGCGACATGCCGCCCGTGGCCCGGTGCCCGCGCACGCTCGCCGGGCAGCCCTTCGCGATGTCGTAGCCGAACTCGCCCTGGACGGCGACGACGTCGCCGACGGCGCCCGACCGGAGCGCGGCTCGCGCCTCGACCGTCGCCGGGAAGCACCGCGTCCAGACGCCCTCCATGAGGAACGTGTCCTGCGCCGCCGCGTAGTCGTAGCACGCCTCGACCTCGGCGAAGGTCGCCGCGAGGGGCTTCTCGCAGAGCGTCGGCATCTTCCGCGCGAGGAGCGCCCGCACTAGTTCGGCGTGCGTGTCGGGCTGCGTCGCGACGTAGGTCGCGTCGGCGCCGTGGTCGCGCGCGCCCTCGAACATGGCCTCGTAGCCGCCGTAGCACTGCACGCCGCGGTCGCAGTGCCGCGCCGCGAAGGCCTCGGCGTCGGCGCGGCTCCGCGCGGCGACGGCGACGACGGCGTGGCCGTCGAGGCGCCGCACGGCCTCGGCGAAGTCCGCGGCGATCTTGCCCGCGCTCGTGATGGCCCAGCGGAACGGCGCGGCAGTCATGGCGTCGGTGGCGTGCAAGTGGCGGTGCACGCGCGCGCTCCGACGTCGACGGAGATCGTCCTCAAACTTTTCGAAAAGGCCTCCAGGATACTTCAATATTAACCCGCCGCCGCTTAGTGCGCGGCCACGGGTGTGTACCTCAAGGTGCGCGTGTTTGCGGGCCGGTGATTCGCCGCGAGCGCGTGGCGTGGCGGTTTGCGACGACGCGGCCATCGTCGGGGAGCGTCGGACCTCGGTCGATCGCGCGCCCGGTCTCCGCATGGCGTCGACAGTGCCGCGGCGAGGGCCTCGCCCGACGCGCCCCGCGCCCCCTCCCCTCGACGGCTCGCGGGTGTGGAGTGGAAGTCTCGATCTTAGCCGGTCGCGCCGCGCCGCGCCGCCGCGCGCCGCTTCCGCCGCCCCCGGCCGCTCGCCGGCGCGCGCTCCGCCGCGAGGCCACGCGTTCCGGTGGCCCGCGCCGCGTCCGCCGAGCGGGGCCGCCCGCCCGCCGGCGGCCGCTTAGATGAGCTTGGTGTAGGCCTCGAGGGACGACATCATCGTCGCGTAGGCGTCGAGCGCCGCGGCCTGCTTCTTGCGCTTGGAGAGGAGGTTGACCTCCTCCATGTCCTGGTAGAACTTCTTGGCCGCCGCCGTGGCCTCGGGCTTGCCCGACGCGGCCGCGAGGTAGTTCATGGTGCCGCGCATGTTGTAGACCTGGCGCTCGAGCTCGGAGCGCACGTCCTCCCAGCTCTTCTTCTCGATGTACTGCTTGGTCTTGGCGACGCGCTTGGAGCTGTCGGCGAACATGGCCTTCTTGAAGGCGACCTCCTTGTCGTTGTACTTCTTGTAGACCGCCTTGGGGTCGCCGAGCTTGCCGTAGACGCTGTACGGGCTGTAGACCGCGTCCTTCTGGTCGCTGCCGTACATGGCGCCCTCGGAGTACCTGGGGCGCGGGGACGGGGTGAGGCGCCGCGCGTCGGCGGGGCGGCCGGCGGGGCGGGGGGGGCGCCGCGGAGAAAACGGGGGCGCGGGAGCCGGACGTGCCGCCGTTGCCGCCGATGCCGAAAAACGAGAACTTGGGCGACTCGCCCGCGGCGGCGTTCGCGGCCTGGGCGCCGAAGGCACCTGTGGGGGCGCAATGTGACGGTCGGCGGCGGCGGGGCGTCGCGCGCGCGCGAGGCCTGCGGCCTCGATTTGCCAAGATCGGGCGCCGGAGCCGCACCGGCGATGCCGACCAGCGCCGAGCCGAGCTCACGGCGCGTCTGCACCTTAGAGTGCTGCGGCGCGAGGGCCGAAGCGGAGGCGATCAGGAGGGCGGTGAAGCGGGCCATTATCGTCGTGTGCGATCGTCTTGTTGCTGTGGCTCGGGGCTCGATCTTCTCCGCGTGTCTCGCCAGGGTAAAACTGCAGGGGGCAAGCAAGGCCACTGGGACCCCGGCGGCTATCCGGTGGCGACCCGGCGCGATCCCGGCGCCATCCGCAGCGATCGCCTGCGATCTGCGGCGAGCGCGTCGCGCCTGCTGCGAGGTGGGCGTCCCGGCAAGCAGCCAGTCTCGCAGCGGTGCCGAGGCGCCGCCGCGTCCACCACACGGCGTCCCGGCTCGACACCGCTGCCTTCGGCGCCCATTTCGACGAGCACGGGTCGCCGGGCGCGCGCGACCCCGCGGTGGGTGCAACGAAAGGATTGTTGATGTTGAGCCCCTTTTTCGCCCCTGGGCAGAGACTTAGCAGAATCACAACGTCCACTGCCGGCGCCGACGACGCCGCCTCGACAAAATGACCGCGCGCAAGATGATGAAAGTTAGATCGCATTACGGGAGAACAGGATGCTCGACGAGCCGCAGCCGCGCCGCGTAGACCATCATGACGCGCTTACCACAGGAGACGGAAAACTGGGCGCTCATCAACGCCATCGATGAAAGTACGAGGTGGATGAGGGTCGACTCGGCGGCCGCGTGCGCCTGCCCCACCGTCCCGTACCTTCTCGAGTCCGCGGGGGCGCTCCTCGAGGTCGCCGCCGCGCACGTCGACACGCTCCGCGCGCGCGCGGTCTCGCCGACGCTGGGCGCGGGCAACGCCTCGGGGGCGTCGCCCCGCAGCACGACGTCGCCCGAGTCGTGGACGGCCGTCGCCGACGAGCGCGTCTGGCTCCGCGACCGCGTGGACAAGGTCGAGGCGTTGGTCGCGGAGTCGCACCGCGAGCTCGCGGAGAAGGAGTCGGCGCGCGCCTCGGCGGTCGACGCGAACGCGCGCCTCACGGCGGAGCGCGACGACGCGCTCGCCGCGGCGAGCGCCGCGCGCGCCGAGTGCGACGCCGCGCTCGCCGCCGCCGCCGACGCGCCGCGCGCGGTCTCGCCGACGCTGGGCGCGGGCGACGCCCCGGGGGCGTCGCCCCGCGGCACGACGTCGCCCGAGTCGTGGGCGGCCGTCACGACGAAGGGCTGCGAGGTCGCCGAGGCGGCCGCCGAGCTTGTCTCGCTCCGCAACCGCGTGGCCCAGCTCGAGGCCTCGAACAAGCGGTTCCAGCGCGCCGCCCGGGACGACGCGTTCCGCCGCGACAAGTTGGTCGCGGACTCGCGCCACAAGCTCGCGGAGAAGGAGTCGGCGCACGCCTCGGCGGTCGAGACCATGCGCGACGGCTCCAAGACCGCCGCGGAGATCGTCAACCCCATGATGGACGAGAACGATTCGCTGATGTACGAGAACGCTTCGCTCAAAGCCCGCGACCAGGAGCGCGAGCGCGAATTCGTGGCTTTGGAGCGCAAGAACGACGACCTGCGCGCCGAGGTCGAGCGCCTCACGGAGCGCCTCGCGGCGGAGCTCGCCGCCGCGGCGCTCGCCGCGGAGCGCGACGTCGCGCCCGCCGCCGCCGCGCCGCGCACGGTCTCGCCGACGCTGGAGCTCATCGACGAGCTCGGCTCGTCCGCGTCGGCGCCGAAGTCGCCCGGCAGCACGCCCGAGGCGCCGGGCCGCGCGGACCTCGACGCGTCGGACGCGCAGCGGCCCCCCGCGCCGCCGCCCAAGCCGCCGTCGCCCGTCCCGAGCTCCGAGGGCTTCGCGCAGCCGGACGAGGAGTGCGACGACGCCGGCGCGCCGGCGTCGCCCGAGCCGTCGCCCAAGCCGGCGGACGAGGCGTCGCCCGCGCCGTCGCCCGAGCCGGCGGACGAGGCGTCGCCCGCGCCGTCGCCCAAGCCGGCGTCGACGGACGAGTCGGCGCTTGAGCAGCGCGACGCGCCCGCGCCGTCGCCCAAGCCGCCGTCGACGGACGCGCCGGCGTCGCCCGCGCCGGCGGACGAGGCGTCGGACGAGGCGTCGCCCGCGCCGTCCGGGTCGCCCGCGCCGGCGGACGAGGCGTCGGACGAGGCGTCGCCCGCGCCGTCCGGGTCGCCCGCGCCGGCGGACGAGGCGTCGCCCGCGCCGTCGCCCGCGCCGTCGCCCGCCGTCGGCCTCGGCGCGGAGGCGCCGTCGACGGACGAGCCGGCGGAGGCGCGACGCGAGGCGGAGGCGGCGGCGCTGCGCGACGCGTATGAGGCGGCGCTGCAGGAGTGCTCGGCGGTCGTCGAGGCGTGTCGTTCGGCGTTGGCCGCCGGTACGAGCGTCGACGACGCGGAGATCCGGCGCACGTATTCGAAGAAGCGGGCGGCCGCGGACTTGGCGTACCGCCGGCTCATGCAGCACCGCTACGACCTGAAGGAGTCCGGCGGCACCGCGGCCGACGGCTGCTTCGCGCGGCGCGTCGGCGAGGAGTGGCAGTTCTTCGCGAACGCCGGCGGCATCTACGAGGCCTTCCGCGAGGCCTTCCCGGACCTCTTCGGGGACGTTCGGAAGACGGGCAACCAGGTCAGGTCCGTGCTCCGAGGGGAGAAGCGCGTGGACGGGTTCGAGGCACTGCTCTGGCCCGAGGACGTGCCCCAGGAGCTCGTCGAGAAGGCCGTCGCGGCCATGGCGAAGGAGTCGATCTCGAAGAAGCGGGCGACCGAGGACTTGGCGCGCCGCCGGGTCGCGGAGCACCGGTTCGACCTGAAGGAGTCCGGCGGCGGCGCGGCCGACGGCTGCTTCGCGCGGCGCGGCGGCGCGGAGTGGCTGTTCTTCGCGAACGCCCGCGGCATCTGCGAGGCGTTCCGCGAGGCCTTCCCGAAACTCTTCGGAACCGTCATGAAGACGGGCAACCAGGTCGCGTCCGTGCTCCGAGGGGAGAAGGCCATCTCGGGGTTCGAGGCGCTGCTCTGGCCCACGGACGTGCCCCAGGAGCTCGTCGAGAAGGCCGTCGCGGCCATGGCGAAGAAGTCGAAGAAGAGGAAGAAGTCGAAGAAGCCGAAGGAGACGAAGGAGACGAAGGAGACGGAGACGTCGAAGCAGTCGAAGGAGACGGAGACGTCGCGCGGCCTCATCAGCAAGTGGAAGGACGAGGTCGTCGCCCTGCGCGAGGAGTTCCCGGCCGCGGAGTTGCCGACGGACGCGGTCGAGGTGGCGCCCGTGGACGTGACGGGAAGCTGGACCCCTGAGGAGCACTGTGAATCTTTGCGCGGATTTTATCACGGCCTGGACGCGTCTGGAATGGCCAATTTCCACCCGACGCGGACCGCGGACCAGATCCGGACCCACGCGCAGAAGTACTTCGCGAAGATGGCGTCCGCGGAGCCCGGCGAGGCGGTTGCCGAGCTGCGCGCCGCGCTGGAGGTCCAGTCGATGCCCGGGACGGCTGACGCGAGGGAGCGGTGCCTGCGGGAGCTCGACGAGCAGCGTCCCGGGTGGGCGGCGGCGGCGAAGAAGTCGAAGCCGAAGAAGCGACGGCGGCGGGCGACGCGCCAGGAGTTCACGGAGAAGATGGAGCGCAAGACAGCCGAGCATGCCGAACATCTACGCCCCTACGAACAAGCCTACGGCAAGGCCGGGCTGCCCCCGCCGGAACCGGGCCGCACGAAAGCCGCGAACTCGGTCGCCGACAGCGTCGCCGCGGCGCTCGTACTTCTGAACGAGCACCGGCGGCTCCAGGACGACGACGACGACGCGAGCGACTCGGAGGAGGACGGCGCCGACGCGAGCGACGCGGGCGAGACGTCGGGGTTCGAGGAGGACGGGGACTCGCACATGAACGACGTGGACGACGACGTCTCCGTCGAGGACGCGGAGGCGTCCAGCGACGCGCCGACGGACGACGAGGGCGAGGGCTCGACAACGGGCGCGACGGACGACGAGGGCGAGGGCTCGACCACGGGCGACGCGGACGTGACCTGCTGCGGCGCGGCCTGCCTGGAGATGGACGTCGACGTGCCCGGCGGGTTCGCGGCGTCGTGCAAGTGCGCCGCGCCGCCGCCGTCCGCCGGCGAGGGCGACCTCGTGGCCGCGCTCGTGAGCCAGTACGAGCCCTTCGACGACCCGGACGTGCTCAGCGACGGCTCGGAGCCGCGCTCGCTCGCCGAGCTCAAGTTCCACCCCACGGGCGACTTCGCGTCCCTCGGCGGCGCCCTGTGTGCAAATCAAATCTTCAACCCGACTTCAATGTGCGCGTATTCGAATGTTTTGACACGATCACTTCCGCCGTGCTTCGAGAACTCGCTGAGAGCAATCGATTCGTCCAAAGATCAGCCGAATCGACTTCGATTTGACCGAGCTAGAGAATTCTGAAGTTTGGCCCCGACGTCCCAGCTCACTGGTTGATTTGCACACAGGCGGCGCCTTCAACGACGGCCAGAGGGGCCACAACGCGCTGAAGCTACTCTTCGGCAAGGGCAGGGTCGTCGTGGACTTCAGGTCCAGCTGGGACGTTCTGCTGTGCGGCGAAGTCCCCGACAAAGACAAGAAGGCCAACGCGGACGCGGACGCGGACACGTTGTGCTGGTGTCTCGAAGACGTCGCGAAGTGCCTGAAGAAGTATCCTCTTCCGGCGGCGGGAGACAGCGACGGCCTGTCGGAGTCGCGGCGACGAGCGATGCAGTGCACGGAGTCGTTCGTGGACACGGAGCCATGCGACGACTACAAGTGCGACAAAGACGGCTGCCTGCGCGGCCATCGCTGTTTCGGAAACAGGGGCGGCCACGCGGAGGGTGCGCTACTTCCTTTCAAGTGGTTCCCGAAGAACCCCTATCACGAAAGGGCTGACTACCGACGGCGACTGCTTCTCTGTCATGCGTGCACTGAAGCTCGTCGAGCCTACTACGCGGAGGTCGAAGCGGCAAAGCGACGCGCGAGGAAGCTGAAGCGAGCTGAAAAGTGGGCGGCGCTCCTCGGCGCCGACGCTGAGGCCTTCACGGACGAGTACCTCGAGCAGCTAGAGAAGGAACTGACCGATCTCATCGAGGCTTGGATCAAGAAGGCCCGCGGCTCGCGTGGCAAGGTGTGGATCGCGTTGCACGTGCTCGGGACGTCGCTTGGGTCCCAGGACGTCGCGACGGAGGGCCTGAATTCTTCAATCACCTCGGCTTCCGCCGCGATTTACGTCGCGAAATCCAAGACGGACCTCCTGCTCGAGCGGCTCCTGAACTTGGACGAGTCCGCGAGTCTCGGGGACCCGGCACAGTCGATGGTGGCCGACATCCCCTCCGCGGTCAAGGCGCGCGTCGTCGAGGCCTTGGCCCACAAGGTCGGCCGCGACGTCGCCCGGAGGGACGGGAAGATCCGCCTCGTCTACCGGAGGCTCGGCGCGGGCGGCGCCCAAGGCAAAGGCCCCTGGGACGTCGCGGGGCGCGCCTTTCTCTTGGACGACGAAACCGGCGAGTGGCTCGTCGGCGGGCCGCGGAACGCGCGGCTCCACCCCGCCTGCTGCCTCCCCTCGAACCTGGGGCCGCCGCCGACGGCCGGGAAGCGCGTCGACGACTGGGACTCGGACGACGACGACGAGTCAGACGACGACGACGCGCCCCAGGCCAAGCGCCGCCGCGCGCCGCCCCGCGAGGCCGCGTCCAAGCGCCACCGCGCCGCGGCTGCGAACGACCTCGCCGCCGCGCCGCGCCGCAGCAAACGCGCGTGTACTCCGACCGCGGCCGCGGCCGCGCGCGGCGACGTTGATTCCGAGGATTCCGACGAGGACGCCTAGGCGATGACGACGTCCGGGCTGAACGCCGAGTAACTATACTTTTTTCCGCTACCGGAGGCTCGGCACCGACGGACGACGCTCAAGCTTGACGATGCGAGGATCGAGCTTCGACGACTCGTGGAGTCGCGCGCTGACGAGCCCAGGCGTCGACCATCGACGGGTGTTTTTATCGTCGCCAGGGTTGCTTCAAAAAACCGGTGATGCACCCTTGTTGCTGCTCTCCTCAGGGAAGAGGCGCGGGCCGGCTCGAGCCGCCGTCGCACGTCAAAGGTGCGCAACAGCGTGCTCGCTCAGCAGCAGCAGCGCAACAGCGCTGTCCAAGCAGCAGCAGCAAAAAAGTTGAGCACATCGCACAAAAGTAGAAAGTGCTCTCCCAAAACGCTCTCAGAGAGCGCTCGGCCATCAAAGGCGAGTGGAGCGCCGAAGGCCGGGATTTCCCGCCGGAGCTTTCCACAAAGACACAGCAATGCACCCGCGCCGCGCCGTCGTCGCGCTCGTCCTCGCCGGCTGCGCGGCCGCGCTCGTCCCGGCCGTCGGCCGCCGCCGCCGCCGCCGGGCGCTCGCGGCGAAGCGGCCCGCGTGGACGTGGGAGGAGGCGAGGGAGTACGCGCGGTCCTTCGGCTTCGCGTCCGAGGCCGAGTACAAGGAGTACCGCTGCCCCGGCGCCTACGCGCTGCCCAGCGACCCCGTGGCGGCCTACGGCGAGCGGTGGACGTCGTGGAGCGACTTCCTGGGCTGCGTCGAGGTCTCGGGCCGCGGCGGCTTCGAGCGGGTCCTCTTCGTCGAGATGGGCTGGGGCTGCGACCAGCACGGCCAGGACCCGACGAAGGCCGCCGTGCGCGCGGCGCGCAACGCCATCGAGTTCAACTCCATCCCGTCCATCGGCGCCGTCGTGCCCGGGGGCTACGACAACATGAAGCTCGGCCTCGACGTCGCGCTGCCGCGGCGATGCCACGGCGAGCTGGACCAGACCCAGCTGCGGGCCGTCTTCCCCTACGGCAATATCGCCTTCGTCGAGCTCCAGGACGGCGGCGCGCTCTTCCGGTCGGGCATCGCGCTGCCGGCCATGGGCGACCGGAACGACGACGCCATCGTGGCGATCGTCTCCGTAACCGTCGGCTATTGACCGACGCGCGTGGTCCGCGTCTCCGTACCCGCCGTCGCGCTCCGCACACGTAGTTTACCCGAAGCACTCGCGCTTGCGGCCGCGCGCGCGGACCGCGTCGAGCCGCGTGAGCGTGGGCGCCGGGTCCGCGGACTTTTCGCGGTACGCGTCGCGGACGGCGTCCCACATCTCGTCGGCGTCGCGGTGCGTCGAGATGAGCGCGCGCTCGAGGACGTACAGGTCCACGGCCTTGTCCTCGGGCGTCGACGACAGCGACCCGAGGCCGAAGTCGATGAGCGCGAGGCTTTCCAGACCGCCGTCGGCCGCGGCCTCGCAGATGACGTTGGACGTCGTGAGGTCGCCGTGCGTGAGCCCCGCGTCGTGGAGCACGGCGACGGCCTCGCCGAAGCGCCGCAGCATGTCCGCGACCCGCGCCGGCCGCTTCCAGCGGTGCTCGTCGACGTACGCTTTTCCCGTCAAACCCGCGACGCGCTCGAGGTAGAGCGCGTGGCGCGCCGTGTCGGCGACGAGCACGGCCGGCGCGCGGATGCCGAGCTCGGCGCACTTGGCGAGGCACCGCGCCTCGGCGAGCGTGCGCTCCTTGCGCAGCTTGGAATCGATCTCCGGGTGGCGGTAGGTCTTCCTGAAGCGGTGCTTCGCCACCGCCGGCAACCCGAAGACCGTGCAGCCGTAGACGCGCGCCTCGGCGCCCTGGCTCAACAGCTCCCAGCCGGGCTGCACCGGCGACGGCTCGTCGGGCGACGGCGACGGCGCGGCGACAAGGGAGGCCATTGCTGTCGCCTCCGCCCACTGGCAGGCCAACATCGGCTCGATGCCGTAGGCTTGCCGTGCGACGCGTCCGCTCTACGGCGACGCCGCGTTGCCACTTGCGTTACCCGCAGGCCTTCCCCCGCCGCGCCCTCAGTCGCGGGGCCGGGGCGCCACGGGCGCCGCGGCGTCCGCGGCGCGCGTCGCGCGCGCGAGGTCCTCCTTGAGCGCCGCGATGGTCGCGCGCGCGTCCTTGAGCTCGTCGGCGACGAGGCCCGACTCCGCGAGGAGCCGCTTGTGGTCGCGGCGGAGCCGGTCGTCGCGGTCCGAAACGCCCCTCGCGCCGTCGAGCTCGGCCTGGAGCTCGCGGCAGAGCTCGACCCAGTGCGCGATCTCCTTGGCGTACTCGTCCGTGAGCTCCTTCTCGGACGCGAGCTTGGCCTCGCCGGCCTTGAGCCGCTCCGCGAGCTCCCAGAGCATCTCGTCCTTGAGGTCCAGCGCCTCGGCCCAGCCGCGGTTCGCCGCGGCGGCCTCGAGGCGGTCGCCGAGCTCCCGGGGCAGCGCCGCGTCCGGGTCCGCGTCGGGCAGCCGCGGCGTCGCGCGCGCGGCGAGCGCCTCGACCTCGTGGCAGAGCTCGGAGAAGCGGTGCACGAAGCCGACCATGGACATGGCCGGCACGTCGCCGTCGCCGCCGTCGGAGCCGCCCGCGTTCGACGCCTCGAGGGACAGCCGGTCGATGGCCTCGACGTCGCACCGGAGCAGCTCCGCCGCGCGGTCGAGCTCGCCCGCGCGCGCGTCGCGCGCCTCCCGGAGCCGGCCGAGCACGTCGTCCGCGTCGCGCCGCGTCTCCGCGTCGATGCGCTCGTAGGTCCGCTCGAAGGCCTCGCCCTTGTCGCGGACCCAGCGGCTCGCGGCGGCGAGCCGGTCGCGCCGCGGCAGGAGCTTGGCCATCATGAGCTGCCGGAGCTTGTCGAGGCGCCCGCCGTACGCGTCCGCGAGCGTCGCGACGTCGTGGCCCTCGCGCGCCGCGGCCTCGGCGCCCTCGGCCGTCAGCGGCGCGCCGCAGGACTCGCTGAAGTGCGTGTAGAGCGGCGCGGCGCGGCCGAAGGAGCACGGCGGCGGCGGCCCGGCTCCGCGCGAAGCGCGGCGCGGGCGCCTCGCCGGGGTAGCACGCCGCGGGCGCGGGCGCGACGGCGTCGTAGGCCGGCGGCTCGTCGTCGTCGTAGTGGTGGTGCACGACGACGCGCTCCACGGACTCGCGCGCGCCGCGGCGCCGCCGGTCCCCGCGGCCGTCGTCGCGGCGGCCCGGGTCGTCGCGGCGGCCCGGGTCGTCGCGGCGGCCCGGGTCGTCGCGGCGGCGGCGCCGCGGCTCGTCGTCGGCGTCGCGGAGCACGAGGCGGTCCGCGCCGTCGCGGCGGTCCTCGTAGTAGCGCGGCTCCGGGGCGTCGTCCCGCGCCGCCGCCGGCGCCGCGCGGGGCCGCTCGGGCGACGGCGCCGCGGGCGGCGGCGGCGCGGCGGCCGCGGGGTGCGCCGGCGCCGGGTCGTGGGGGGCACCGGACCCGTGCGTCGCCTCGAGGCCCGCCCTCCGGCCCTCCTCGTACGCGCGGAGCACGGACGACACGGACGTGTGGCCCCGGGAGAAGGACGGCCGCCGGTCGTGGCCGCTCGGGCTGTGGGGGGCCTCGTCGCCGCCGACGCGCCGCGCGAAGGCCTCGGCGGCGCGGGCCCGCTCGGCGGCGTGCGGGTCGCCGGGCGCGGCCGGCGGAGCGCCGGCGCCGAACGGAAACGCGGCGCTCTGGCGCTCGTGGACCTCCATGATCTTCGCGGTGGCGCCGGCGAGCTCGTGGGCCGCGCGCTCGAAGGCCGACGTGTCCACGGCGGCGCTCGACTTGCGGCGCGCCGTCGACGACGAGCTGCGCGCGTTTGAAAGGTCACGTGCGTTGCATAAGGTGCGCGTGGGACGCAAGGGACGCACCTCGACGACTTCTTCTTGCTCGCCTTCTTGTCGCCCTTCTTCTTCGTCTTCTCGCCCATAGTTCGCTGCTGCCGCGGCGGTCGCTGCGCGTCGGTCGCTGCGGCGCGGCGGGCAGGCGAGGCAGCCCGCTAGCGGTCGGATGCAAAAGGGCAAGGCAGAGAAGCTGATCGGCAACATTAGCCCGTCGTCGGTCGCAAAACATGATGCTGGCGCGTCGCCTCGCCGCGATGGCCCCGCGGCGTCGCCCCCTCGGCGCCCGTCCCTTGAGCGACGAGGCGACGGAGCCGGCCAAGGGCCGCGTCATGGCCTGCGTGCCGACGCCGGACCGCCGGGCCTACGCGGCGGCCCTCCGGGACGAGCGGCGCGCCTGGCGCGCCGCGGAGCTCGCGCGCGTCGCGGACACGGCGGCGGAGGAGGAGGCGGAGCGGGCGCGCCTCGCCGCGGCCAAGGCCGCGAAGCGCGAGGTCCGCGCGGCGCGCGCGGCGGAGAGCGCGGCGGCGCAGGCCGCGGCGCGCGAAGACGCCAGGGCCGCGCGGCGCGCGCGCCTCGGCGGCGCCGTCGCGGGCGCCGAGGCGGCGCGCGCGGCGCGGCGGGCGCGCCAGGCCAACCTCGTCGCCGCCCTCGAGGCGGAGTCGGCGCTCTGGCTCGTCGACGACGACGCGATCGACGCGAAAATCACCGAGGAGCTCTTCGCCGAGCCGGGGTCCACGGGCCTCGTCACGGCCGAGAGCCACTTCTACTGGCGCTACGCCGCCGTCGTCGACGCGGACGTGGGCAAGGGCCGCCCGCCGCCCGAGGACCTCGCGCTCCTCAAGGCGGACGCCGCGAAAGCCGAGGCGGCGCGCGTCGCCACGACGACGGAGCGGCTCATGCGCACGCAGGCCGCCCACCTCACGGAGTACCACGCGATCCTCGACGACGCCGCCGACATCGCCGACGCCATCCAGGACCTCGAGGTCCAGGTCATGAAGCCCCGGCCGTTCGTCAAGCGCGGGCCCAAGTAGCGCGCCCCTTTATTATTGAACCGCCGCGCGTAGCCGGTCCCGGAGCCCGGGGAAGCCGCGCCCGGCGCCGTCGACGAGGAGCGCGTCGCCCCGCGCCGGCGCGACGACGACCGCGGCCGCGTCCGCGCCCGCGGCGTCGCGGACGCGGACGTCCTCGAGCTCCGCGCCCCGTAGGTCGAGCGTCCGGAGCGCCGCCAGGGGCTTCGCCGCGTCGAAGACGTGGAGCCGCGCGCCGTCGAGGACGAGGCGCCGGAGCGCCGGCGGCGCCAGCGCGTGCGTGTCGCCGTCCGCGACGCGCGGCACGTCCGCGGTCCGCGCCTGAAGAGCGCGATGCGACGTCGCTTCAACGTGCGCGTGTCGCGCCGTTTCGAAAGCGTCGACTCTTGGAGACCGCTCCGAGCGATGGTCGCTCGTCCAAACATCAGCCGAAACGAGTGGACGACGACCGAGCTCGGAGCCCCGGAAGTTTCGCGCGCTTGTCCCGCCCCGGTCCGCGCGGCGACCGCGGCGTCGCCGAGCGGCGCGACGGCGAGCTCGACGACGGCCCGCGCCCCCGGGACGCCCCCCCGCAGCGACGCCGACCGCGTCCCGCCGAGGACGTCGCCGTGGAAGCGCAGGAGCGCCGCGCCGAGGCTCCGGCCGGACGCGTCGCGCGCCTCGAGCTTCAGCGCGGCGTTCCGGGGCACGCCGCAGGACACGAAGCGCTCGCCCGGCCGCAGGTCCAGGCGCGCGTCCGCCGCGGCCCGCGTGACGCCCGCGCCGACGAGCAGGGCGACGTCGAGGCGCGCGGACCGCGCGAGCGACGCGGGCAGCGCCGCGCGGAGCCCGACGAAGGTGAGCGCGGCGGGCGGCGGCGGCGGCCGCGCCCGGCGCCGCGGCGGCTCCGGCGCTTCGGGCGGCGCCTCGTGGGGCGGCGCGCAGCGCGCGACGGCGAGCTTCATCGCGGCCTTCGCGGGCGCGAGGTCGACCCAGCGCCAGGGCTCCTCGAGCGCGTCGCCGCGCGCGAACGCGTCCGCGTCGCCGACGTCCAATTCGAGGTCCTCGACGCGGAACTCGACGGACGCGACGGCGCGCGGCGCGCGCTCCTCCGCGACCTCCCAGACCACGAGCAGCACGTCGAGCTCGTCGTCGAGGAGCCCCGCGGCGACGCGGGTCTCGGCGTACGCGGCCCCGTCGACGTGGAGCCCGAGGGGCCCCTCGTGGACGAGGCGCTTCCGCCGCGTCACGAGGCTGCCGTCCGCCGGGCCCGGCGGGCAGGCGTAGACCTTCAAGATGCCGGCGACGTGCCTGGCCGCGGGGCCCCGCCAGCCCGCGGCGCAGACGACGACGCCGCGCGTCTTCGCGTCGGCCGCGCGCGGCGCCGGCGCGCGCGGCCGCGGTTCCCAGGCCTTCCGCGCCGCGTCGAAGCCGCCGCGCGTCTCGTTTGCGGTAAGCGCGCGCCGGGCGACGCACCAGGCCGGGTCGCCCTGCGCGGCCGCGCCCGTCGCGCGCCACGCGTAGACGCGCGCGTCCTCGTCGCCCGCGACGGCGCGCGACCGCTGCTTCTTCCGCCCGAGCTCGTAGAGGTAGCGCACGCGCGGCGCCGCCGCCGGCGCCGCCGCGGCGGCGTCCGGCGCGGGCGCGGGCGCCGCGGCCGCGGGCTCGTCCGCGACGCCGGCGCCGCCGTCGCGGTACTTGGCGAGCGCGAGGCGCGCGGTCTCCGCGCCCGTGAGGTTCCGCTTCACGTCGACGCCGCCGCCGCGCTTCGACAGCGAGTAGCGGTCGTGGCGCACGGGCACGGCCTGCGCGCCGCCCCACCGGGACGTGAAGGGCCGCTCGCCGCCGTAGTCGTCGTCCTCCATGCGCCGCAGCGACGCGCCGACGCGCGCGGCGTCGCGCGCGGCGCGCCGCGCCTCGCGCTGGGCCGCGCGGCGGCGCCGCCGCGCGAGCTCGCGGCATTCCAGCGCGGCGTCGTCGACGACGTGCTTCGCCTCGGCGGCCCGCGCCGCCGCCTCCAGACCGGCGCAGGACTTCCAGAGCTCGCGCACGTCGCCGTCGACGACGGCGAAGCGGCCCGACGACGCGCCGGGGCCGCGGCCGAAGTTCGCGACGCGGGCCTCGTCGGCGCGGACCATGATGGTTAATCGTTCATACCATAAGGGCTGCTGTCTGGGTAAACTTGTGTCTTGCCCCGCCTGGCTAGCCGCGCACCATCACGATCATGGGCTGCTTCGCTGGGTAAACATCGCGACTTGCAGTGTAGTGGCAAATTCGAACTCTGCGCGCGCCGAGAGATGGACGCGTGCAAGCGCCCGTCCGAGGTCAGCGAGGCGTCGCCCGCGAGCAAGCCCGCGGCGTCGAGCCGCAAGCGCCCGCGCGACGACGGCGCCCCGCCCGCGCCGAAGCCCTTCCTCGGGCGCGTGAAGGAGATCTGCGCGAAGTGCACCGACGATTCCCAGCGCCTGGGCTGGGACGAGTACTTCGCGTCCATGGCCCTGCTCGCGTCCGCGCGGAGCCCCTGCGATCGGCTCCACGTCGGCTGCGTCATCGTCCGCGACCGCCGCGTGCTGGCCATGGGCTACAACGGCTTCTTTCGGAACGCGCCGCACACATCGATCGTGGCGCACGGCCACGAGCAGGCGACGGTCCACGCGGAGGTCAACGCCGTGTCCCACGCCGCGCGCACGGGCATCGCGCTCGACGGCGCCAGCGCCTACATCACGCACTACCCCTGCGTCAACTGCTTCAAGACGCTCGTCTCCGCGGGCATCAAGGAGGTCCGCTACATCGACGACTACCGCAACGACCCCATCAACGCCCAGCTGTCCGACGTCGCCGGCGTGCCCATCGAGCAGCTGTAGTAAGGCTTCGGAGAGGCACCGGGCGGGGTGGTCGTGGAGGTGGCGGACCTCGACTCGCCTGTGGTCCGAGTCTGTTTCTTATGCACAGAGCGTGGGTGTCGCTGCCCCTACCGCCGCCGCCTAGGCCGGGGCCGCGCCGCGGTGGAGGACGCGGTGCTTGGGCTTGGCCCAGCCCCAGCCGGCGGTGAAGCCGGGCGCGAACTTGCCCGTGGCGAGCCCCACGAGCGACGGCGCGAGCTGGAGCAGCGCGGAGATGGCGCCGATGACGAGCATGGGGAAGACGCCGAAGGGCGCGGGCGAGTTGTTCCGGGACACGGCCACGGACTCCTTGACGGGGAACCGGCCGAGGACGTCGTCGAGGACGTCCGGCGCGGCGCCCGGCCCGACCTCGCGGAACCAGCACGCCCAGAGCGGGTAGGTCCAGTACTTGAAGCAGCGCGCCGGGTCGAGGAGCGGGTTCGGCGCGCGCGGCTCGCAGCCGATGAGCGCCGCGACGGAGTCCGCGAAGGCCGGGTAGTCGACGAGGGGCCGGAGCTGGGGCGAGAGGCGGTAGTAGGCCGTCTCCTCCGCGCCGTCGCGCGCCGCGCGCGCCGCGTAGTCCGCCGGCAGTTTTCGCTCGCCGGCGACGAGGAGCGCGTGGTACCGCGCGAGCAGCTCGGCCATCTGCGGGATGCCGCCCTGGTGGCCCCGGGCCCAGCCGACCATGGCGAGCGACGCGCCGTAGCCGGGCGCGAAGCAGTGCTTGTACCAGGCCCGGGGGTCCCGGGGCAGGTCCTCGGCGAGCCAGGCGAGCTTCGTCGTGTAGCCCGTGCACCACAAGATCGCGTCGACGTTCGGCACGTCGACCGCCGCGCGCGGCGGGTCGCACGCGTCGAGGTCCGCGAAGCTCACGTCCGTAAAACGGGCCACGGCGTCGGCGCCGACGGCCAATTGTTTCGCGCAGACGAGCTTCATCTTCCCCTCGCAGAGCAGCTTCAGCGGGCGGCCGTTCTTCGTGATGTAGCGCGCCTGGTCGCTCTGGTAGTACGCGTCCCTCGTCGCCGCGACGATGAGCTTGGCGCTGAGCCGCGCCTCGGGCGACGCACTCGCGTCGTCCTTGATCATGCCGAAGTACTGCTGCTTGTTCGCGCCGACGAGGAAGACGGACGCGGCCTGCATGACGCGCGGCGTCGTCATGTACTCGAGAAAGTCGGGCATCGCGCACTTGTCCGCCTCCGCCTTGTCCGTGATGATGGCGTACTCGTCGGGGAACTTGTCGAGGAGGGCGGGGAAGCGCGGCGCGATGGTCGGCGGCGACCGCGTCCAGACGACCGCGCGCGCGGCCACCGCGGCGACCTCGCTCGCGAGGTCCGCGGACGACTCGCCGAGGCCTGGGCAGCACAAGAGTGATTCAACGTCGCTTCAACGTGAGTGTGCCGCGCGCGCTCGCGTTCCGGAAAAAGCATCCACGCGTCGAGACCGTTCCGAGAGATGATCGCTCGTCCAAAAATCAGCCGAAACGAGTGGAAAACGGCCGAGATCGGAGCCTTGGAAGTTGGGCATGTCGCTCTCTTTTGCTGCCCTGGCCTAAACCGACGACGACGACGGTCTGCCCCGCGAAGCGGGTCGCGTTCTTGTAGTCCGACGAGTGGAGCTGCGCGCCCGGGAAGCCCGCGGCGACCTCGCGGGGCCACTTGGGGTCGCTGTTGCTGCCCGTGCACGCGACGACGGCGTCGAAGGACCGCTCGGCGGCCGCGCCGCCGGCGCGCGTCGTCGCGGTCCACCGGCCGCCCGCGTAGGCGCAGCGGACGAGGTCCGTGGAGAACTCGATGTGCGGCTTCAGGTCGAAGCGCGCCGCGTAGGCCTCGAGGTAGGCCGCGTACTCCTTCTTCGTCCAGTAGCGCATCTTCTCGCCCTTGGGCGGCGGCGCGTCGCTGTAGGCCATGAAGTAGTTGGACGTCGTCAGCATGAGCGTGTCGTAGGCCGCGTCGTCGTCGGCGGCGAACCAGCCGCCGATGCGCGGCGTCCGCTCCACGGCGACGGCGTCGTTGCCGCAGGCGAGGTGCTCCTTGAGCGCCACGAGGCCGCTCGGCCCGGCGCCGATGACGAGGACGCGCCGCCCCGCCAGCGCGCGGGGCTCGGCGTGGAGCATGGCGCCGGGCGGGGCGCACATCTCGAGGCGCGCGGAAGGGTGTGTGTCGCGGTCGAATGGAAAACTAAAGCTGACAAAGGCGGCTGAAGTTCGGACGCAGAGGTCGGGCTGCCCCGTTCAACTCTCGACACCGTGACTCACGAAAGCTACCTTTTGACGTCAAAAGCATCGTATTTTCCGATCGCGTCAATGTGTTGAGGTTCCCAGACCCCTTCCTCGGGCTGCCCGACCGCGCGACGTCCTGAAGCAGGCCGCGCCGACGACCATGGGCAAGGACGTGGCGGACGTGGAGGTCGGGGGCCGCGCCGGCGTGACCCTCGAGGCGCTGGACCTGGGCTACGTCGTCAACGGCGCGACGCTCGTCTCCGGCGTGAACGCGCGCTTCGAGCCGGGCACGCTGACGGCCCTCATGGGCCCGAGCGGCGCGGGGAAATCGACGCTGCTCGGGCTGCTCTGCGGCCGCGGCGGTGGCGACGTGTCCGGCGCCGTGCTCGTCGACGGCGCCGTGCCGCCGCGCGCCGCGTACCGGCGGCTCGCGACGCTCATGCCCCAGGACGACGAGCTGCTGGCGGACCTGACCGTGCGGCAGACCCTGGTCTACGCGCACGCCCTGCGGGCGCCGGCGGGCGGCGACGACGGTCGCGTCGACGGCTACCTCGAGCGCCTCGGCCTCGCGGCCGCCTCCCACAAACGCGTCGGCGGCGGCGGCGCCGTGGGCATCAGCGGCGGGCAGATGCGGCGCCTGAGCGCGGCCATCGAGTTCCTGAGCGGGCGGCCCGTGCTGCTCATGGACGAGCCGACGAGCGGCCTCGACGCGGCGGCCGCGAAGGACCTCGTGGACCTGCTCCAGGCCGCGGCCAGGGCAGCAAAAGAGAGCGAAATTCCCAACTTCAAAGGCTCCTTTCTCGGCCGTTTTCCACTCGTTTCGGCTGATTTTTGGACGAGCGATCATCTCTCGGAGCGGTCTCGACGCGTGGCCGCTTGTTTTGGAACGCGCGCGCGCGGAACACTCATGTTGAAGAGAACTTGAATCACCCTTTTGCTGCCCAGGCCGCGGCGCGCGACGAGCAGCGCACGGTCGTGGCGACGATCCACCAGCCGTCCTGGGGCCTCTTCTCCACCTTCGACCAGGTCCTCTTCCTCGCGCCGGGCGGCCGCGCGGCCTTCGCCGGCGCGCCGGACGCCGCGCCCGCGTACTTCGCGGCCGCGGCCCCGACCGACGGCGGCGGCAACCCCGCGGACGCCGCGCTCGTCGCCCTCGACGCGGACCCCGGCGCGTGGGCCGACAAATGGGAGGCGTCGCGCGAGAAGCACGACGCGCTCGCGAAGGCGTCCCAGTTCTACGCGGCGAGCATGGCCGACGCGTGGGCCGGCGGCGGCGGCGCGCCCGCGGAGTACGACGTCCCCCTCGGCCGCCAGTACGCCGTGCTCCTCGGCCGCACGGCGCGCATCTGGGTCGCCGCGCCGGGCCAGGCCCTGACGACCTACTGCATCGTCGTCGTCGTCGCGCTCTTCTGCAGCTCGCTCGTCTACGACGAGTCGTGGAGCCAGTCGAAGGCGGAGATGCTCCTCTTCTGGGGCTTCACGGTCTTCCTGGGCTGCGCGACGCCCGCCGCCGTCTACGTGCCCCTGGAGCGGCCCTTCGTGAAGCGCGAGTGGCGCAACGGGACCTACGCGGCGTCCGCGTACTGGGCCGCGCGCGTCTCGGTGGCGTGCGCGTCCGCGTGCGTCGCCGCCCTTGTCACTACTTCAATAGTCATGGGCGTCCACGGCATGAACGCCGGCCGGCCGGCGACGGCGGCGCCCTACGCCCTCCTCTGGCACTTCTACGCGGCGACGATCGTCCACTTCGCCAAGTGCACCGTCATCGGGCTCGGCATCGGCTGCGCGTTCGAGAAGACTCTCGGGCCGGGCCTCGTGACGGCGTTCCACGTCTTCTCCCTCCTCACGTCGGGCTTCCTCATCCCGGGCCACATGATGCGGCCCGCCTTCTTCTACCTCCAGAAGGCGAACATCTTCCACTACTACATCAAGATCATCTTCTGCGTGACGCTAGACCACGCGGACGAGGCCGCGTACTACCTCCTGCGGTCCAAGGAGTTCTGGGGCGTGAACCCGGGCAACGTGCGGTCCTGCTACCTCGCGGAGCTCGCCATCCTGGTTTTTGTCGTCGCCGCGGGGGGCGTCGCGTGCGCCCGGTCGCTCGCGCGGCAGGACCCGGCGCCGCCGACGCGCGTCGAGGTCGCGAAGCCCGCCAAGGACGGGGAATACGAGGCCCTCGAGGCCGACAAGGCGACCTACGGCGGCGCCGACGCGGGCGCGACGCCCGTGGCCGTGGCCGCGGACCGCCTCTGGTTCTGGCACGCCGCGGACGCAAAGGGCGGCCCCGACAGGGCGGCCGTCAAGGACGCGACGGTCGTCTTCCCCGGCGCGACGGCGACGGCGCTCATGGGCCCGAGCGGCGCGGGCAAGAGCACGCTCCTCGACGCCCTGGGGGGCCGCGTCGCGGGCGAAACCCAAGGCCGGGTCCTCGTCGACGGCGCCGAGGCGTCGCCGGAACCAGGGCAGGAAAAGGGTGATTCTACGTCGCTTCAACGTGAGTGTTCCGCGCGCGCGCGTTTCAAAAACAGTACCCACGCTTCGAGAGCGCTCCGAGAGATGATCGCTCGTCCAAAAATCAGCCGAAACGAGCGGAAAACGACCGAGATAGGAGCCTTTGAAGTTTGGAATTTCGCACCCTTTTCCTGCCCAGGCCCGAACAGTTCCGGCTCCTGGCGACGTACACGCCCCAGGACGACGCCCTCATCGCAGAGCTAACCGTTGGCGAGACGCTGCACCACAAGGCCCTGCTGAGCCTGCCCGCGGGCGCGGCGCCCGCGGCGTGCGCGCGCGTGCTCGCGTCGCTGGGCCTCGACGGCAAGCGCGACGTCGTCGTCGGCGGCCCGGACAAGCCGTCGCTCTCCGGCGGCCAGAAGAAGCGGCTGAGCGTGGCCATGGACCTCCTCGGCGACCGGCCCGTCATGATCATCGACGAGCCGACGACGGGCCTCGACGCGGCCGCGACGCTCCTCGTCGCCAAAATAATCACGTCGCTCAGCGCCGTCGAGCGGCGCACGGTGATCTGCACGATCCACCAGCCCCCCTGGGCCATCGTCGAGACCTTCCACCGCCTCGTCGTCGTCGCGGGCGGCCGGCCCGTCTACGGCGGCGCTCCGGCGGGCCTCAAGCCCTTCCTCGAGGGCCGGGGCCGCGCCTGCCCGCCGCTGGAGAACCCCGCGGACTTCGTCATGGTCGAGCTCGCGCGCGGCGGCGTCGAGCCCCAGGCCCGGGCCGAGGCCGCGGCCGCGGTCCCCGCGGTCGACGCGGCGAAGAAAACCGGCGTCGCGGCGCGGGCCGGCGCCTACGCGCTGGGCCCCGCCGACCAGTATCTCGCGCTCGTGCGGCGCAACGTCAAGCTCTGGAAGGTGGACCCGGCCCAGGGCATCGCCTTCTTCACCGCGCCGCTCGCGACGGGGACGTTCGCGGCGCTCAACTTCCACAACTTCGGCCCCAACGTCTACCTGGGCATCGCCGTCTACATGATCTCGAGCGTGCCCGCCATGTCGTCCATGGGCGTGTCCGTCATGCTCGTCCCGGGAGAGAGGGCGTTCGTCGCGCGCGAGTTCCGCAACGGGCTCTACTCGGCGGAGGCGTACTGGGCCGCGCGCTGCACCGTGACGCTGAGCTGGGTCTTCTTGTGTTGCCTGAGCATCATGCCCTGGCTCTACTTTCTGCTGGGGCTGCCCATGGATCTGTGGCGCGTCGCGCCCTGCGCGTTCGGCAGCGCCGTCGCCGCGGCGACGTTCGTCGCCGTCGCCATGACCGTCGGGCTCGCGGTGCCGGACAAGATCCGCGTCGCCCAGGTCACGGAGCCGCTGATCCTGGTCATGCTCACGTGCTCCGGCGGCCTCGTCGCGCGCCACCGCTTCAAGGACATCTTCATCTGGCTCTACTGGGCGAACCCGCTCACGTACGCGATCCAGAACGGCTGGGTCTACTTCTTCACGCACCGCAACAGCGACCGGGACCGGGGCTACGACTGGGTCCTCCACCACTACGACGCCATCCCGGAGAACCGCCGCTTCAACCTCGCCATGCTCGTCGTGCTGCTCGCCGCCGCGGTGCTCAACGGGTTCCGCGTCGCGCGCTCGTCGATCCACATGACCATGCGCGCGTCCTGATCCGCCCGCGCCGGGGGCCT